AGATGAATGGCAAATAGTGAGGGCTTTAGGATCATGTCCTCTCTGTGTGCCTTCATCAGTCTTCAGATATGAGGCTGCACCTTTCCTCCATGGAGGGACATGTGGTGCTTCTGACCTGCTTCAGGAAATTGTCAGGAAATCCTTTCTAGGTTTTATGAGCAGTTTCAGGGGACGATCTGAGTCCTTCCTCACATTCATTCATCCATTCAAAGAACTTCCTATGTCAAGCCCCATGTTTTGAGATAGCATATTCTGAATGCCATCAAGTATGAAATAAAGCCAAAGTTCTGGGCATAACTAATGACTGTGTTCATATTTGATCCTGAAGTGCAACATTTATATAAATTGAAAGATGCATCTCAGTGTATCATGTTCTGTGCATGTCATTTTGCATGAACTTTTCAGTAATTCTTGTTTTAAAAGTATCTAGAGTTTGAAATATACAAGGTATTTCATCTAATTGGAATCTTTTTTCACTGAGTCTTTGAGACAGTATTCTAAAATATGCTGTAACCACAAAGGCTACTTAAGTTCTGAAGTACCTTGGAAATTTTGATCCTTGTAAGAATGTTATATTGGGATAAGTATGTGATGATTGCTGTAACTGGTTAAATGCTGAAACCTGAACTGTCCACAGTGGTCTCAGAGCACTAATGACTAATAGCCTTAGACCTGAGAAGTGCACGGGGCACATATGACAGACTCTCAAAGGCACAATGCCAAGAAGGAACATGGCATTTCAATGACTCACCTTGGAACCTTCCTTGGTGCTTTTTCACTGGTTATTTCCAGTGAACTCACTGACCTGCATGGCAGAGTAACTTCACTTTTGCCTTTTCCTATGAATTACTCTGGAACAACAGTTTCTTCAAGTTAGAGGCACAGAAACCCTAATCCCATCAAGAAACCTTACCCAGGGGTGAAATATTATTAAGAGTATCATTCATTTGAAACAAAATTCTGCACAAATTTTCACAATGCACTTTAATATTAAAATATTCTCTTAAGTTTCAGAACCACAAGAAAACCCTCTAAGGCAGAAAGCCACGGGTTGATCATGAAAAGTACCAGGGAAGGGCCAATGAGATGCCTAGTTGGGTGGAAGGAAAGAACTTACTCCTCCTAATTTGTTCATTGACCTCTATATGAACAGAATGACAGAATGGCATGGTGTGTATTGTATGTTCATTCTCAATCATATGTATGTATGTATTTCCCCCTCTCTAAATAAGTGGATATATGTTATTATTTTAAAATCTGATCAGTTGATTTCCATACACTCATCATATGAAATAATTAATTTTTAAAATAATGAAAAAAATTGAATGCAGCTTACAACTGTTTGTAACTCCAGTTCCAAAGGATTTGACACCCTCACACAGACATACATGAAGGCAAAACACCAATGCACATAAAATAATGAATAAACATTTAAATTTTTGTAGGAGCTAGTGGGATCAGGAGCCCCACAAGCATCCCACAGAACTAACTAACCTAGGCTTATAGTGACTCAGAGCATGAACCACCAATCACGGAGCATGCATGGGTCTTACCTAGGCCCTCTCCATATATTTTACAGTGGTATAACTTGGTCTTCTTGTGAGACTTTTAACAGTGGTAGCAGGGCTTTTCTCTAACTCCTGCTTTTGGCACCTAGTCCTTCTACTGAATTGCTACATCCAGCCTGCCTGCCTTTCTTTCTTTCTTTCTTTCTTTCTTTCTTTCTTTCTTTCTTTCTTTCTTTCTTTCTTTCTTTCTTTCTTTCTTTCCTTCCTTCCTTCCTTCCTTCCTTCCTTCCTTCCTTCCTTCCTTCCTTCCTTCCTTCCTTCCTTTCTTTCTTTCTTTTTTTTAATCTAAGGACTGAACCTAGGGCCTTGAGCTTGCTAGGCAAGTGCTCTACCACTGAGCTAAATCCCCAACCCCATACATCCAGCCTTAATAGAAGAGGTCATGCCTAGTCTCACCACACCTTGATATAACATGGCAGGCAGGTGTCCATAGGAGGTTCACCCATTTCTGAAGAGAAAAAAGAGAAAGAAGAATGGATGTGGAGCAGTAAGAGTGGAGGTGGGGGAGGGGATGAGAGGAGAGGATGGAGGTGAAATTTTGGTTAGGATGTAAAAACAAAAATAAACAAATAAATAAAAACATTCTTCCAATGAAGGAAGAATATTGGTGTTATCATATTTAAATTTGAGATACTAAAAGAATGTCCCTCAAGGGACATTATCACTTATTCTGACTTTATAATGTGTTTGCAGTTGTACAGGAATAGAAAAATCATGCTAGGTATAATTTTGAGCTGGTCTAATACATAATGTGTTTGTCTTGTACTGGAATAATTATATCTTATTTAAACATTATTATGACCTGGTTATTGTTTTACATTTGGAAATTAATCATGATATTAAAAGGTATAATTGTGTATGTCAAGTTCGCATGGGGTGCAGTTGTGATAGCTATTTTTAGTTGTCAAATTTATTACATCTGGAATTAACTAAGACCCAAAAATGGAGGGGCACACCTGTGAGATATTTTTGCTTAATTTGAAGAGAAAAGATCCACATGGAAGCCAGCTCTTTGCAGTTGGAAGACATTCTTTTAACTGGATGTTGATGAGGAAAGAAAGAAACACCTATAACTCAGATGTTTTGGGCCCCCAAGCCTGACCTGTAATCTCAGGCAGGCCTTGTGCTGGAAGCCCATATACAGAAATGGAAGAAGGGAGCTTTTGCTCTTTAGCTGCTTGCTCTCACCTTGCTAGCAAGTTCATTCCTTCCCTGACATTGGAGCCAACTTCTTTGGGATTCGAGACTATACTACTGATGGGCTGAGACAATAGGTGTAGTGGACTGGATTCTTGGACTTTGCCATCAAGCTAGCTGAACCACAGCCTCTAAGTCATTCTAAAAAATAGCCTTCAGTATATATAGAAATACATTCTATAAATTGTTACCCAATAGAACCCTGAGCAATGCACCAGACAGGGATAGAACTTTTAGAGTACTTTGGGCCTCACACCAGCGTTATCTCAGTTTTGAATTGCACAGAATCACTGGGCAAGAAAGTAAAATAACACAAGTCTGAAATTTCTCAAATGGAACACACAGTAATCTAATTAAATGAGTAATTATGTGAGATGGAGAGAGTCTAGCTTAAGTGAGAAATGAAAAACAAGATGTCTTAGCTTCTGTGGTACAAGACCTGGCACCAGCTCCATCCCCCATGAAGATCGGAAGAGAGTAGCTTCTTTTTACCCTTGTTGTGACAGCTCTAGTTCGGAGAGCCAGGGGATAAATTTCTTTACACATCAAATCTCTGCCTCACTGTCAGCCTCAGGAGTCAGATCTATCCCAGAGGAGCTTCCCAAGAGTAAATCAGTCATTTGGAGGAACTTTCTCAATATATTCTGAGATCTGCTGTGATAAAAGAGAAGCGTCAGCCACCTCTCACCTTTTTAGTCTTGCACAGAATCACTCTGCACCAGAGACATGTGGCCCCTGATGCTGTCTCTATCCACTCCACCTAGTCATGAGGTTCCTCCCATCGTTGCTTATCAGGACCGTCATGAGGGATTCCTCATCCTACCTACACCACCAGGAGGGGCTATTCTATTTTGCATTTTATTAGACGGGCTTAATAGGTGTTGTCAACCTAGAAGAGATCTAGCAAATCTGTTCCAATCTGACAATCAGTGAGACTGGGGCAGGATCCTGAACCTATGAGAGCCCTGAATGGATGTGTGACAGCCTAAGACAGTTAGCATACCTGTCTCTACAGGTTCCAAGAAACTTCAGTCTTTGGTTGGGAGTGAACCAATCGAACTAAAACAGCACACATGGCTGGGAGGACAAAGGTCAATTGCAGGGACTGTGGAGATGGCTCATCCATTAAGAGCATTTATTGCTGTCTCAGAAGACCCACAGGACACCTAACAAACCTTTTTAACTTAAATTCCAGGTGGACTCTGCCCTCACCTGGCCCCTGTGGGAATTGCATGTACATGGTGGCGAAACACCATAAGTATAAAGAAAAGCACCACAAAATATTCCAACATACATTGAAGGAATTATCTCTGCTGTTCGGATATCACTCATGTTATATTTCAAGAAAACCAGAGACAGAATTCTTTTCATTTCTTTATTTCTTTTATACAATTTTAATGAATATTCTTATTTCCAAAAATGCCTAGATGAATATACTTTCGTTTCCCTTTAATTTGGTGTACATTATGATTTCATGAACATGTGTGTACAGTGTACCACATTTTACTAGTAGCTAAATATATGACCTCAAGCATACAATACATCTAGTTTTTCTCTATTATGTAGTGGGTATACATGGAGTAGGCTATGCCATCCACATCCAGGTGCAATCCCCCTGTGTATCCCTGAGGCCCATGAATGGAAAATCCTTGTGTAGCCTGAGCTTCCTGGAACTTACTGAGATACATCCAAGCCTGTGAGTTCTGGGTTTACAGGAGTGTGAAACCTCATCTGACTAAAGAAGAGTCTTAGAGTGAACAGTTTGAAATTTATTTGATTCATAAAATACATTCATTTTACTCAACGGGGGCTTTCAAAACAGCATCATTATATACAGTGTATAGCCTTAGCAAACTATTAAAACAATGACAAGATAAAAGTAATAACAAAAATTAACACAACCTTAAATGAAAATGAAGAAATCCCAAAACCAAAGCATAAATATCCCAAGATATAAAACAAAAAAAATTGAGGAAATTGCAACTTTCTTTGGAATTTCATTATGGAAGAGCAAAAGCAGTGAGGAACTGGCTTATTCTCTGTAGAGAATTATCTTCAGCAAAACTTGCCCATGACATGGCGTCAGCATCAGCACTGCATTAGAGAGGATCTTATGCTTTTGGTGTGGTCTGTCTGGATGGCAATGTGACATTAACACAGTCTTTCTTGTCAGATTTCCCATCACATATGGACTCAGGGTTTTTAGTAATTTATTTTGTGTTCTCTGTATCTTAGACTTATTTCTGACACAAAATTTTCCCTGGGGATAGTGAGCCAACAGATGTGGATCAGATTGTGGCTGGATCCCCTGATGGTAGGTTGATATTTGCATCATTAGTGAGTTCAAAGCTGAAAAGAGGTGGCATTTTCTGAGGAGGCCTTAAACCTGGAGTGTAGAATGTCATGCCTTCAAGGTGTCCTGGCTGCTTCTAGCCTTCTCAGTCTTCTTAACAGGTGCTGTTAAGGAAAATCATTAGAAAAATATGATTCAGAAACAGTTTTGCTGTGCCACTGGCAAGAAAATCAGGGCCTATTCATCCCTAGTAAACAAAAGTTAAGGAAGGAAACACACCCCATGAACACCCTGCTGTTGGAGATGGAGCTCAGTGGTGGATTACTTGCCTGGGACATAGTGTTTATGCTTCAGCAGCTCCATGTGCAGGAGGGTCTCATCCTGGACCGTAGTCTGCTCCGTTCCTGCTGGAGGTTTTCAAACCTAAGGAAGAAGGCAGCAAGAGCAGAAGCCCATGGGGGCGGGGGGGGGGGGGGGGACCTGCCATGTCAGCTTTTGAGCCCCAACTAGATCTGCTAAGCTAGACAATCAAGCAGTACCTTTCAGCTGAGTTAATTCCCTGCTTCCCCAAGGGAAAAGTGTCAGAGAGGTCTTGGGCAAGATTTTTTTCTCAAATTTTAAAAACTGCTAAAAGTTGAACTGGAAAATACACACTGTGCTGGATTAGAAAAAACAGCATATTTCTCCAACAGTCCAGAGACATCATTTTGGAGAAATATCAGTATGACAAGGTCTGAGGCACAGATCAGAAGAGATGCAGCTGGACTTGATTAGATACCAGGTGAATATGAACTTCCTGGAAAACTCTATGCCTGCCCTCTAGTGGAGCCTATACAGCAATGCAGAATAGGCTTTGAATATTCCTAAAGCTCAGACCCCTGCATGGGATTAACTTGTCAACCCCTACTCTGTTTATGACCAGTGTAAATCTTCTCATGAGAAACTGATAAACACTGCAGAGAGCCAGCAATCAGCAGTAGGCTGCTGTATGCTATCTGCCAAAGGGTAGAAACTTATCTCTGAAGTGATGTTCCTGATGAAAAATAAAGTTGCAAGAGGATGCACTTCCCTTCATGATTGATGATCCCCTCTAGGTTTCTGGCTACCATAGAAATATTTGTGAAGAGATCTAACTTAGGAGATGAGATACTCAGAGCATACTAGAGGTCTCAAAACGGAAGAAGGGGACACAATCGTCATAAGACAAAGGAGAAAGCATATTGTTTCCTGGACATAAGTTCCTGTTGACTGAGTCAGCAATGACACTCTGAGGTGTTCTTTCCCTGGCTGTGGCTGGAAGCTTTGCCAATCGAACAGAAACTCAAAGAGGACAGAGATCCAGGTAGAGTGGACCCACTTGGATCCACCTGCTTCTGGAAGCCTAGGCTCCTACTTCATCTGGTACACAGTGAAGTGATGCTGCAGCTTTCCTGCCAAGTCCCTTTGCCAGGTGAGCAGCTCCTTCTGCTTCAGCAGGGAATGAAGATTTTCCTCAAGTCTTTGATGTTCGTGCTCATTAGAAGATTGTGTTTTTTTTTGTTTCTGGTTTTTTTTTTTTGGTTTTCCGAGACAGGGTTTCTCTGTGTAGTTTTGCGCCTTTCCTGGAACTCACTTGGTAGCCCAGGCTGGCCTCGAACTCACAGAGATCTGCCTGCCTCTGCCTCCTGAGTGCTGGGATTAAAGGCGTGTGCCACCACAGCCCGGCAGAAGATTGTGTTTTTAGGAGAGGGTTTCCTGCACCCATGAACATACAGATGCATGAAGACACACACACACACACACACACACACACACACACACACACACACACACACACATACACACACACGAGAGAACATATATATGTACATGGGTGCATACATACAAGCACACTACATTGCTTCTGTTTTTAGTTTCCTAAATAACACTGATGTAATAGGAGATCACCTGGGATACTATGGAGAAGAAAGTGACCTTTCATTAATCCATAGACTCTCTACTCATATTCCAGCCCAGAGGCAGGAAAACACAGGAAACTCTGAGCACAGGGATGTGGAGAAGATTGTGTACTTTTACTCTGTTTTGATAATTTTCATTTTATTTTTAATTTATATGTGTAGGTGTTTTGCCTGCCTGTGTGTCATATTAGCACATGGTAGAAAAACTCATTGGACCGATAAGTCAATGTAGTGCTTGCCTTATAAACCTGTACACCAACAGGTGAACCCCAGGGTTCCTTGACCAGTAATCTAAGCTCTCCAAGCAAGTTCCCAAGTCTGTACATTGAAGGCTTAGTTCCCGAGCAAAGGACCACTGGATGGCAGTGGACCAGCCCCTTGCTCTCACTCAATGCTTCTCAGTGTCTCCAAGGGCAGCAGCTTCCTCCTAAAAAAGCTCTCTAAACCACAGCTTGCCTCAATTTAGGCCCAACGGAATGAGCTCAGAAAACAAAACAAAACAAAAATCTCTAAAGTCAGGAGTCTATATTAACCTTTTCTCCAAGTAATATGATTATGTCAGGAATTTCTTTGAGTAACAGAAGGTTGAGTAACTCACATCCAAATGATTGCATGTATTATTCCATGCTTCACAAGATTCCATGGACCACATTGTATGTTTTCCCTAATCAAGGATGGGCATCTGAATAGTTTCTAGCTGGAGGTGTTCTGATGAGTCCTGCTGTAACCCTGTTGTCCCCTATTCTCTGTGGACACCTACTTTACATTCTGGAATCAATGGACCACTGGAGTCTGCATTCAACATTCTGAATAATTATATATAGGTTCACACAGGGCTTCACCATCTTACACTACTAGCAATGTCTGAGAGTTCTCATTTCTCTCAACCCTTCATCAGGCCGATTTTAACTCAGTATGAAGAAGTTTGGAATAAAAGCAGGTTCTGAGGGCTGCAGACACAACATGGAGTGGGTGCTTTAGAGTATGAGGAGCCTCAGTGTTGCACTGAGACAGCCTCTCCTCATACCTCAGCATAGCTGTGGGACTTCGGCTGGGCTGAGATGCAGCCACAAGCACCTCTGCAGTTCAGCATTTCTCAGGGAATAAAGTCCAGGCCAAGCTCCAAGGACAAGGTTAGCTGAACCAAGGTTAGGCAAAGGTGAAAGGAAAATGGCGGCAGGCGATGAGGAGAAGAACAAAACAGGATGCAGGGAAGTCATCAGTGGTCAGCCACCATTCACCCAGAGCAGAGAAGGACACCAACCGTCAGGCACCTTTCCTGCCTCTCAGTAACCTCTTTCTCACCTTCATGTACCCCATTACTTTGTTTTCTCCAGAGGATTTCTTTGCAGATAAATAATTCTGCCTCTACAAAGACCTGAAAAAATTTTTAACTTGAATCAATTTTGTGGCCTTTTGTTGTTGTTAACTGTGTGGACATGCTCCATCTGTTCTTTGACTGATGAAAAGTGGTACTAACCAGGTTAGGCATAGTACTTTCTCATTGAAGTCTCTCTCCATCATTGTTAAAGATGTTCCATTGTTCCATGAGTGAGTGAACATACACATAGAGGCTCAAACACATATTCTCATACCCCATAGAAACACATAAGACAACACATAGGCACATAACACACACACACACACACACACACACACACACACACACACACACACGAACACACACACACACACACACACACACACACACACACACACACACACACACACCTTACTTGAACCCAGAAGGGCAAGGGAGAATATTGGAATCTTGCAACACCTTTTGTACTACAGGGAGAGGTAGTGTGTCCTCCCTGTTGTCTACAAGCCTCTTAGACTCAGCCAGGCTTTTCTGCCCTGGCCTGAACTTGTTTCCCCTCCTAGGGAAGTTTTTATCACCAGACTCACTGATTGTACAAATAAATAACAACCTCTGCACAACTGAGTTTGACCACACAAGACCAAATGCCCATGGAAGATGGCTGGACAGGAAGCCTCCCAATAGATCTAAGTTGACCCATCATAGACTCCTCCCTAAACCTACCCAGACTCCTCCACAGAAGGCAGTGATAGACCAGAGAATGGAAGTCACCCATTGTCATTACCCAACAACTTTTGACCAGATTATAGTGCATGTTATATTAAAACAGCCCAGGTCAGACAGTAGGAGGCTACCTATGTCACCCACAGCACTTTCCTGAACTACAGCACTCTATAAAACTATGAGAAGGAATCTTTCCTAAGAACACAGCCATATACATGTTAGAGTGAGCATCAAAATGTCAGGTTCCATGTGTGAAGCTAGTAAGACAAACCAGACATTTCCTGGGAAGTTACTTCTATGCCATGAAAGAAGAGAAGTCTACTTATTAATTTTAAAATAGATCCATTGTTTGGCTTTTGTAGGGGACGTTCCTCCTTCCATACTGTTTCTGCCTCTGATCTCATATGACCTATGCAAAGCAAGGGAGACCCAGACCCTTGACCTCACTCACTCAGATCTCTGTGCTACTCCCTATGTGGCTCTCATCATAGCACTGCTCTTTCCATACTAGCATATCAGTGAGTGACATGTGATTTACCCATCTCCTTCGGTGGACTGTAGATTCTAGCATAGCAGTAGGGTTTCCTTGGCAGTCATGCAATGCCTTCCAAGAGGCTAACTCCCCAGAAAGCCTTGTGAATGATCACAGAAATGAACAATTAGATGGGATGGGTCAGGTGGATAAGTGAGTAGATGGTTCCATGGGTGTGTGTATATGTATGTGTATGGTTAGACAGGTGGGCAACTTGGCCCTGCTGCTTCAACCTACCTGCTGCTGCTTTGTCCAGAGGTCATAGGTCTTCCCATAGGCCTCCACACTGAGCCTCCTTGCCTCGTCACAGGACTCTTGTAGTAAAATCTGCTCCCCCTGCAGCTTTCTGTTGTCCTCTTTCAACATGCTCACTTTTTCCTTTAGCTGAGTCCTTTCCCTCAGGAGCTGACTGTAGAGGGTGCTGAAATATCACCAAAGATGATGAGTTCCACATGCTTCTGCACTCCTGGCTCTAATACCACCCTTCCTGCAAGGCCCCACATCCCCATCCCCATGACCCTGGGCAGGAACCCACATTAGCCATGCCAGCATCACTCAGGTGCAGGCCAAAGCCAGAGAATAGCCAAATTCCAGATAGATTCAAACTGCTTCTGAATACCCTGACAGCAAAAGGGATCCATGTACCTATGAAAACTGGATCCTCCACCCCCCCCACACTCTCTGGTGTTTAACTGTTCACAGTATTCGGGAAACATGAGCAGGTAGAGTCAAACCATGCTCTAAAGTGGACAGAGGACCCAATGGGAATACATTCCATCCACGATTCCCATAGAAACCAACTCTGTAAGCTCCTGCCAGAGCCACAGAAAACATTCATGGTGAAAACCATGTTTTCTCTCTAGAAGCTCCAGACTTTGACAGGAAAATGTTGGGAGGGGCTCTAAGACTCTTTATTCTTAGGAGAACTCAGTTTAGGAGGCACAAGTCCATGAGCTATGAGGCAGGATGCTTGCTAAGAAGTCAGACTAGAACCACAGCCCACCTTTGTTCAAAGGTGAAGAAGGGGAGAAGCTGCTGTGGGATGTCTTCTGTATGCTGTGAGTATGTGTTTCTCCCATTGGTTAATAAATAAGCTGCTTTGGCCTATGGCAAGGCAGGATGGAACCAGGCAGAAAAATCCAGGAGAGACAGAGAAGGAAGTCAGAGGTGGAGGAGATACCAGCTGCCACCCAAGGAGCAACATGCCAGCAGCCTGGTCATGCAGCAGCCATGTGGCAAACATAGATTAACAGAAATAGGTTAATTTAAGATGATAGAGCTAACTAGCAAGAAACTGAAGCCATTGGCCATACAGTTTGTAAGTACTATAAACCTCTGTGTGTTTATTTGCGACTATTTAACTTCAGGAGGTGAGTAGTACAGATTCCTCCTGACAGCTGGGCCAGGCAGGACTGGAGAAACTTCAGACTATCAGAAGCAGTCCCTACCAATTTTTGGAGTCCCATCTAAGTTAGACACTCACCGGTAGGAGTTGGTCTGCTCACTCAGCTCCTTGCACTTGTACGATGCCTCAGTAATCTCCTTGGGGAATTTCTTCACATCTGACATCTCCTTCTCATGCTGTATTTTCAGCATCTCAAGCTCAGATATCAGCCTGTGGTAGGGCATGGCCCCAGGAGCAAAGAACCCCATGAACACGGGTGTCAGGGACCACATGTATTAAGGTTCTGTTTTATACTACCCTAGCCCACTGGATTTCACACCCTGAATTCTATGTACTGGACCTCCTGATGTGCATTAGACTTGTCTCACTGTCCCAGGGCCAGGAAAGGCTGGGTGTCAATAGGAAAGGAGACAGAACTACATGAGCTCCCTCAGTAGGCCTGGAGGGGTAGACTAGCCAGCTAAGAGGGTCTGAGGAGTCTGTGCCACAGATCGGGGTCTATTTGAAATCTGCAATGACATTTCCACTGTCTTGAGAACAGAGATTCTTTCTCCTTACAAGGATAGCCAGAACTCATAATCAGTAGTGCCATGAAGGAGGCACTACATGAGGATGGCTTTATAAACTCCCAAGGGGATTCCAATGAGGCACCAGGGTGAGCACAATGCTGAGAGCAGTGATTCTCAATGTGGGGCTCCCTGGCCTCAGCACATACATCACCAGAAGTCTTTGAAACATGTGAATATTCAGGCCTACTATCAAGCTCTGACTCGCAGGATCTTGAAGGACACACACACACACACACACACACACACACACACACACACACACACACTGTAAGTAAGCTTCTCAGAGACAGTACCAAACACACTCAGACACACAATCCTCAGCACAAAGAGATTTATTACCCCACAGGGCAAGCATGGCATTGGGAGCATGTCTCTTGATCAGGCAAAGGCAGACAGCAAGCAGCAGGCTTTTTTCAGCAGTGGGTTTTTAAGTAGAAAGATTATGTCTGTGCTAGGGTGAATTGTTGAGATCTGATTGGATCAGTTAGCCAGTGTAACCAAGTAATGAATTTTGATTATTAGACTTTGGTGTTTAGTTTCAAGAATGAGTCAGTGTCCACTAAAGGGAATGGACTTTGGGGACTAAATTTAGGAATGTAATCTAATGGTTTATCAAGGGAGAGGGAAGTGAAAAGGGCAAAACCTGCCACTGCTAAGTTTGGGCCCCTTAGAGAGCACTTCACACACATAAACCCACACACAGTTAGGACGTCAGAGAAATGCAGGTAAGTGGCATTGTCTCATAGTATAAGGAACAAGCTGAGAGGAGAGGAGATGAATTCCAGGCCTTCTGGTGACACACAGATGGACTGAGTAGGCCCACCAGGCCATTCAAGATGCTGCCATAGCAAAAAGCAAAAATAAATATCAATTCAGAGCACTGAGCATCTCCTAAAAGCCAATGCCTGTCAGGGCCTCTTGAAATGCATGTTGTGATCTTACACCTTACTGCCCCTCTCTGTAGATTGTGATTCAGGCCACAAGCTCTGGTTTTCATTGGGAGGATTCAGAACAGACTATGTCCTATCTCAATCATACAGGCTTCAGTTCTGCCTCTCAGATGCACTCAGGACACAGTAGGTTCAAGACAGTCACCAGAGAAAAGGGCATGTTGAGTACCTGTTGTTCGACTCATTGTTGTTATAAAGGGCCAGGAGTTCCAGCAGTTCATTCCTCTCATTGGTCATCATCTGTAGCTGAAGGGTCAGTTTATCCACCTGGTTCAGCTGTTGCTCCTGCTCAGTGAGGAAGAAGGGTGTGGATGATGCCTTCCTAGTAGTCCCTGTAGGTACATAAACACAAGTGAATTTGTCCAGATGAATGGCATAGGGCCAAGAGAGATCATGTGGAGTCCCAAGAGGAGTCCTGAGGAAGAGGAAATGCATGGCACCCAGTGAAGCCCTCAAAAATCCGAGCAGATATTCTTAAACTGGGGACCATAAGCCATGTGTCTATCTCCAATCTCTAGGGATAAATATATGCCTCAGACCCTACTTCAACTTCAGCCCCACTGTCCCTGAAAGGCATAAGCGAGGCCAGTCATGTTGGTTTGGAATTCTCACCAGATACCTAATGTGATGCAAGAAAGTTCTGGACTGCCTGGTGCTTCGCATCTCTCAGCCCTGATAATCTGTGTGCAGGACTAAAAGCAACTGAATGTCTCAGACCTGGGTACATGGATGGAAAGTTTTCCTTCCTGGTATTTATATCAGATATCCATGAAATCTACAGAAATCCACTGAGAATGAAGTGCAGCAACATCCTAACCTGATACCTCTGGGCCTCCTTTAGCATTCTTTGCCAATCATAATGAACTGGAAAAGGTCCCAGCACAGCAGCTGCATCCCTGACATTTCCTGGCCCTCTGCCCTCAGAAATCCTCCACTTTGAATCTGCTCTTTAGCAACCCAGGTAAGCTGCATAGGGCCATTGCTTCAGATGTTCACAGCTACTGCACCCCATTAAGAGAAGGACCAATTGTGGCATCAACTCCTGTTTAGAAAACCAGTGCTTTCTATGTGAATCAGTGTGCTCAGTTTTGTCAACATGTCAATTGGTGAACCTGTGAGCTCTTAATAAATGCCTCAAGGGCAGTTGGCATTGCCACAACACTGGTGATTTCACAGAAGATGCCAATGACTCTCCAGGATACAATAGAATTTCCAGAGAAGGGACTGTTAAGATCACTGCTAATGTCATCATCTATCTGATAACAAACTCTTCCCCAATTCACCAAAAGCCAAGCTCCTCTTTCCAGCAGCCTTCCCTGAGACAGAGCAGGGCCTTGAGCACCTCGTCATTTCAATCCAGAGATCTCAATGATTCATTAGAATCTAGTTCATTCTAATTCAATAGTTCATCATGTATGGAGGGCAAGACTCAATTTCCAAACACTGGCCAGGAATGGCTCTTCTCATACTGAAGAATGCTAAATAATAAGATGAGAAATAAAGGATACTAAGAAATTAGCTCAGGATAATGAGGAAGGAAGATCAGTTCCACAAGGTGAACAAGCACATTGGAGAAGATCCACGGGGCTGTTACAATGTATGGGGGTGGTGAAGGATTATATGGGTCCTGTCAGAACAATGATAAGTCATATAGGTAATGATGAAACTTTTGCCAAAACTTCAGCAGAATACATTCTAACCATCATGATGTTAGCAAAGGAGTTATCAATTATTGAAAGGTATGACTGAAAATACCTAAGGACTTGGCATCCACAGGTGAGCCCTCTGACACCAAGAACAAATACTTACAGGAAGAGTGATGTCCCAGTTTGCACTCAGGTAGAGGGAAGATGACTGGCGAGTGAGAGGAAAGGAACTCAGAAACCTTAGGGGTCACTGACATGCAGCAATACTTGGTGGCTCCTGCCCTGCTAGTGGTTGTTATTTAAACTGTGAGAACCTCTAGCTCTGGCCAGAGGACTTTACTCTCCTTGTTATTAGTGACACACACCAAAAGACATCCAGTGTGGGTGAAGTGCAGGGCTGGTACTGAAACCTCTTTAGTCCCTCTGTGCTTCCTTCCCACTCAGAGTGAAAGCAGAGGGCCCTCAACAGAGCAGCTGCAGCCTTGACCATTCCTGGCTCTCTGCCAAACTAACCTTGAAAAATCCACAACTTTGTTCTGCTCTTGAAGAACTCAGAGGACTAGGATAGGCCCATGGCTTCTCAGAAACTCTCACCCCCTTAGCCCCACTCCTAGAAGGATCAGCTGAAGCCTTCCTCCTTCAGGAAGCTCCCCATCCCTTTCCCAGGACTCACTGCGCTTTCCCCAGAACCATTTATTTCTTGATGTGTGACATGGAGACTGAAGGGCATCTTCCTTCTGCCTCCCTTTGGTCTCCCTGTGCTCGCCATCCTGTCTCCCAAGAATCCTGTTCAGTCTAGTCAGCATGTCTGTAGGTGAAACGTGAGACACTGCACAAATGCCCCAATGACAGTTGGTGTTGCCACAACACTGGTGACATCACATGGAATGCCAGGGCTCTCCAGGATACAGTAGAATGTCCATGTGCTGATGTCACATGGTATAGTTGTTACATCCCTGTCTCATACCTCACCCAAAAGTGACTTGAAACCAAGGTGCCATTTTCAGGGGCCTCTGGGGTCACAATGGAAGCCATTAGTTATAATCCTCCTTTCAAAGTCAGAAATCTAGGCCTCTGCTTCATTAGAAACTTTATCTAAGTGAAGTTGAAAGCTCACTTTGCATGTACTGTCCAGGGTTGGATTTTCCCTCCTTAAGATTCATAATCAATTATTTGAGAAAGAAAGGATGCTTAGAAATTAGGTCAGGACAATGAGGAGTAGTAGGGATGAGACCTCTGAAGTGAACAATCACCCAGGGAAGATCCTCAGACTTGTAGAGATTGGTGGCTCAAAGAAAAGTCACATTGTTAGTTATGAAGATTTCACCAGAGTGTCAGTAGAGCTAACTCAAGCTATGAGTTTATGAGTGAAGATGTGACTAGCTCTGGACAGGTCTGGTTGGAGCCACTAAGACCAGGTGAGCTCTCAGATATTGAAAGCAAGCAATTCATGGAAAGAGTAGGATGACCCAACCCTTGAAATCATTGACTGAGGAAAATGTAGTGGCAAGTCAGAGTTCAGTGTTGGCTATGGAGAGGCATCATGAGTGAGACAACACACACACACACACACACAGACACAAACCAGGCATACAATCATGGAGTAGAACATGATGTAGATCACTGCTGTGGTGCTTCAACCAGTAAACAAATCCAAACGCCTAGTTTTGGCACCACCTGTTCCAATCCACATGCTCTTGAAGAGGTGGCACTGCTAGCTTTGGGTACAAGATCCATTAGGAGGACATGAGAAGGGCAGGCAAGGGGAGAGAATCAAGAGTTGTTGCATCATACAGCTTTGTTATACCCAAACCTCACATTTCTTATCATGACATCGCTATAAAGAGAAGCCAGGTCATGGTCAGCATGGAGTGCATGTTCTCCAACCAAATCTCTGGATTTTGTCCACCAAAGCATAATCCTTGCAGCCTAGGACTTATGAAACTTTTGGGTGATCTGTGCCATTTCAGATTTTGAAGCTTTAAGCAAATAAATGTGATTGTCAACTTTATTTCTAAATAGAGTCTTGTGAAGACCAAAAAGTTGAGTACATCCTGGAATTTGGGAGCAAGGCATGTCCTCTAAACTGATATAAAAACTATTTTAAGAACATAGATGACAGTATTGGGGGTAAAGAAATCTGAGTAGAGAGGTGGTATAGAGAGAGGGGTGAGATACTCATTGAGTGTGATTGCTCACATGAATCCAGAGATGAGGCAGTAGATCTAGATGGAAAAGTATAAAGGATTTCCTGCAAATCCCAGTAATTAGAAAGAGGCCTGGAGTCATCTGTATAGTTGAGATCTCAGACAGCTTGGTCTTTCTAACAATCAATTGTGAAACATCACACTTCCATGAACAGATACCCTGCCCAGGATATATAGTTATATACCCAGCAAAGACAGAAATCCCTTCTGCATGGTCCTGCTTCTTATCTCACTTATGCCCCATCCAGAGGAGGGTTCATGTTCTTCCAAATGCCCTGAGATCAAGCTGACAGGGGGACGGCACCTGCCTTTTACAATGTTCATCTCAGCCCACTCTTGGTAGTTGGATCATGTTCAGGAAATGAACTGGGAGATAAGACTTTGCCTAGCCGCTTCTCAAAGTTCAGGCTTGAGACTCTCCCTCTGTGAATGTCAACTTTCCTGTCTTCTACAGGGAGAGGAGTGTCTCAGGTGTCTGCTGGTTTCTTCTCCTTTTCACATGCTTCAGTTTACCCAAGGGACAGCCTCCTCAACCTTACTCAGAGCTGCACAAGACAAAGCCTGGCTTCAGACTCCCCAAATCTGGCCTCATCAGCCATGAGAATGGTGGCACAGTTCACATGACTTTTTTGAGACACAGGCTCTCCTGGAACTTGCACTGCAGTCAGTCTTCCATTCTCCTCCTCATTTCCCAATTGGTTGAGATCATGGCATGCATCACTATACCCAGCAACTTTTTTTCTATTTCTAAATGTTCGAACATCCAGAAACAACCAGAGTGAGGTCAAGATCATGATGGGGAAAACCACAGAGATAGCCTACCCAAGCTGGAAACTCTTGGACTCTGGCGGGAACAAGCACAGGATCAAACTAGGTCCTCTGACTGTGGGTGACAGTCTGGGTGATCACCTGCATCTTCAAGTGACCATGTTCAGCACTGACTGTGAACATACCTATCTGTCCTGAAGCAGACAGCTGGAAGAGGCAGCCTGCTGGTGGAAGACACAGCCTACTAAGCCTTTGTCTCAGTATAGAAAATAAAAAGGAAGCCAGAAGTTGGCTTTTTGTATTACTTATCAGTTCCTCTTTATCTGTCTGCCTCTCAGGGAAGACTGTGTAATTCTTTTTCTCTCAAATTAATGAGTTTATTGAAGTTATTACAGGAGTATAGGTATGGTATTACTTATAGGAATATGAATAACTCTAATGTGTGGCATCACAAAGGCTCACATTAGAATGGGTGACTCATGAAGACTAGAACTCTGAATGTGTCTGCATGACTTGTTTGCAGGTGAATGAGACAGAGGGTCTCATTTCCTCAGTTCTCCTTAATTACACCTATTTAACCTTGGGAGCGGAAGGGCCTTGTTAATCCTGTACATTTCAGCTTTCCCAGCCATGGTTTAATTCCTGAGTATTATGAACCTCCTCTCTCTTTCCACAGAACTTTCTGAGACTTAAGGAAATAGTCCTACTCAGGGAAGAGCACATCAGTTGGATACTCAATATTAAATGATCAGTCCTGAAAACATATATCCTAGCTATACAGAATGATTGGTTTACATTTAGGAATATATAACTATATGGATACACACACACACACACACACACACACACACACACACACACACACATATATATCTTCATGCATATATATATATGTATATGAACATAGCAACAATTAATGAATATAGAGGTCATAAATTAGAAACAGAGCAAGGAGGAGTGTAGTGAGGGTTTGGAAGGATGAAAAATAAGAGAAAATAATGTAATTATTATCTCAAAAATAATAGAAAAGTATTTCATGTTATACAAAGGAAAATTGTTACACAACATTTCACCCATTCCTTAAAATGTTAGTTGTTTGTATAAGTTCACATTGTCCCATGGAGCTCTGCAAAGGCACTAAAGGCAAACACAAGTCCTGAAGTCCCTGGTGAATCAACCATTTTATGTTTGACCTCTTCTGTAAGCACAGCCCAGTGCTCTATCATGCCCAGTGAATTGGCCGCAAAGCACTGCTTCTCTCATATATATTTTATCAGGAAAACCCCATCCTTCCTTCATCATCTTCCAGTGTGTGTGAGACCTCTGCTTGTGATAACCAAGCATCCCCAACGCTTCCTGTGATCCAGTCCATGAGGAAATAATTTCTCTCAGATTTCATTAGATTACATAGCCTGTATTTCAAGGAGGTTTTTGTAAGTGGCTCACCTACTTTCCTACTTCTATTGCACTCAAATTGATCTCATCTGTTCTCATAGCCTACAATCCCATGAGCCAAGCTTTGACAGGAGGTTTCATTGATCTTTTGAAAGTCTTTTGTATCAAATAGTTGAGAGACAGAATGCTCCCTGACTAAGACAAGCTCTTTTTGCAGGCCATTTTAAGGCTATCAAATGCAAGTTCTAGCATGGATTTTCCTTTTCTCTGTATAAAAGGTTGAAACTAAGTGGCATCTTCTATCACTTTTATTTCAAACAGAGAATTACACTCTAATTGTATACAAGTGTAATGAATTTTGTCCTAAGGAATTTTAATAAATACAGCAGTTTCATATATGATCTTGATTTTTTTCTCTTCTGTAAAATTTCTGACTTATGACTTTTCTGGGTTTGAGTACAACTTTCCATTTCCATTTAGAAAACTCTACAGATTTTACCTCTTGACAAGAATTTATATAGTCAGAAAACATTTTTGTAAACTTCATGATAGGTTTTGGGCTCATTTTAAGCACAACTTGCATTTTTTAAACAAACACTCCTTTTCACAATACTTTTAGTGTCACAGTGTCAGAGATCTAAGGAACCTCATATTTTAGCAAGTACCAGGAAAGATAGGGATTATAAAGATTTTGGGGGGGAAAATATGGAGAATAAAACCTACAGAGAAAAGTTTTTTTATTTTTTATGATGTAATTAGCATTTTCTAAAGCCCTGTAAAAATTCAGGGAGGCAAAAATGGTTATAATATCCGGGATGAATAAGGGAAAATCAAGAAGAAGGAGAAATAAAAGAGGAAGAGTAGTTGTAGGAGAAGATGGATGAATGGATGGATGGATGGATGGATAGAGATAGGTGATGAAATAGATAGATAGATAGATAGATAGATAGATAGAGAGAGAGAGAGAGAGAGAGAGAGAGAGAGAGAGAGATAGATAGATAGATAGATAGGCAGAAGACTGACAGAGAGACAGAAACACAGAGAGACAGTTAGGAGTATATACAGTTTTCAGGCTATGCACTATAGTGTTTATTGGGTTCACCAAAGGCAGGATGGACTCAGAACATTTGTCCTTCTTCCAAATATTGGTCAGAGAACTAGGTATGGTTGAAGAACTCAGAATTTTTCTTTTAGTATCTGTAGCCCTTTAATTCTGGACAATTCTAGGATTTGTGTTTTCCAAAAATAGCCCTCAAATTTAATTCCATTCCAGTTGTCTCTCAGTGGTCCCACTTTTTTTTGTATTGATATGTGAGGTGAGGTGGGACAAATACTAGTCATCCAGGGGGCCCTGGCATTCTAGGCCCCAAGAATCTTTCTAAATGAATTCTCCAGGGTTTGTATAGAACTCTAGAAAAGGAATAAGGAATCCTTGTTGTAGCAGATGATACAGAGAGGTTGAGACAAAACAGATTGGGTTCTAGCATGGATTATTATAATGGAGAGGCAAGAGTTTCTGGTCCAGAAATATTAACAGGCTAGATACTCTGAAGATTACATTTAGATCACTTTTTTTCTCAGAGCTGAGGACCAAGCCCAAGGCCTTGTGCTTGCTAGGCAAGCACTCTACCCCTGAGCTAAATCCCCATTGCCAAAATTTTAAGGACATATTTTAGAGAAAAGTCAGAAGGAAATGGAGGATTTAAGACTACCAATTTCTGATGCCATCTCACAGATTTTCCAGAATGTGATGGGCTGATCATGTTTTTCTTTGGGGATGTTATTTTTATAAAGACAGCAAACTTAGTAGGGGGTTTCTAGCATTGAGCTCAGCAGCACAAGGACACCCCATTAAATAACTAGTCTGGAATCCTTTAAAGAGGAGATGCAGCAAGTTGATGAAATGAAATGTAGAAGTGCCTGCAGTTGAAAGGTCGGGATGAGATGGGTCACTCCAGAATGTTAATCAAGAAAAGTCAGAAGAAGGAAAATTAAATATAGGAGGAAGTCTGACAATGTGTGGGAAAAGTGTTTATTTGCTAATGCTTTGGTGATTGGTATTACACATCATCCTCGGAGTATAAAAATAATACAATGGGGATCCTTCTTTGAGAAAACATGTCCACATTTGATATGCTATTGTATATTAAGTTCAAGTCTCTGAAATCTTGTAAGAAAAAATGGAACATCATGGACCATGTTTCTGGAAAAAGAAATAGAGAAGAATTACTGAAGCAGATTTTGGTTGGAAATATGTTAAACATATATATGTACCCATAAATGTATATACATACAAAATCACGAGAAACAAAATCAGTAAAAACAATCCAGACAGGAGTCCAATGGGGTCTGAATATTGATAAACACAAGTATCTTGATGCCTACACTATCCACTTAATTCAAAATTCAGGCTGTCGACAAGGACAATGCTGTTCTGATGAGGATGACATCAGGGTTCCCTTTCTAGCCTTAATCATTGGGCTGTAGATGGCAGCATTCAGCATTGGAGTGAACACACTGTTTACATCACCAAGCCTACTGTAATTCTCTATGTTAATGTGTAAGAGAAGAACTGAGGCAAACTGACAGTCATGTCCTAAATATCAGGCAGACCAGCTTTCAAGCACCAAATGCAAATCATGGTTATCTGAAATATCAAGAGTATGAATATAGCCTCAGTGTAGTTTCCAGTGGTCTTTTGTCACCTTCAGCTTCTGACTCTGCATTTTAGAAGTTATATAGACAGAAGAAATTACCTCAATAATTTTCACGTATAAAAAGCAACAGTCAGATTCATGATGCAGTACTGCCTTGATTCATTTAATTATAACTCACATGGGAATATTATCAGTCAAATAAGAACACTAACATTTTCTTCAGAATTCCTCCCAACACATAATTATATTTTATATAAAACTTGATATCTCTGAAATGTTTGTAGCATATTACAACACTTGAAATAAAATAGTATCTTTTGGGCAGGACAGGACTACTGCACTCATGAACTTCAAGGTCAAGCCATGAACATTCTAGTATGGAAGAGAAAGGTGTTCACTGGCTCAAACCCCTAACTGAGAAGCTGGTGGCAGTGGGTGGCTTTTGGAGGAGGAAGAGTCAGTTTACTTTAGGGTGCTGATGCCAGGTAGTTTGAGCAAACTCAGTGATGGCTCTAACACATGAGCATATGGGCATGCAGTGCTGCCTTACATAGATGATTTAAAACAAAACAAAAGTCATGGATTTAGTAATGTTGGGATTAGCAAAGTGGATCAGGGCCCATTTGTGAGGAATGAGTGGTAATATGATCAAAATACACTGTATGCATAGATGAAATTCTCAAAGAATTTTAAAACTGAATTATTTAAAAGTTTGCAGTTCAATAGCATTAAAATCTGATACAAATTTTATCTTTTTATGTTATAATTTAATTTAATTTTACATATCAGCTATGGATTCCCCTGTCCTCCCTCCTCCCCACCCTCCCTCCAATTCACCTTCCATTCCCATCTCCTCCAGGGCAAGGACTCCCCAGGGGATTCAGCTCAGACTGGTAGATTCATTCAAGAAAGGTCCAGTCCTCTCCTCCCTTCACCCATGCTAAGCAAAGTGTCCCATCATAGGCCCCAAGCTCCAAAAAGCCAGCTCATGCACTAAGGACAGGTCCAGGTCCCACTGCCTGGATGCCTCCCAAGCAGATCATGCTAATCGACTGTCTCACTTGTCCAGAGGGCCTGATCCAGTTGGGGTCTCCTCAGCTATTGGTTCATATTTCATGTGTTTCCCATAGTTTAGCTATGTGTCCCTGTGCTTTTTCCAACCATGGTCTCAACATCTCTCGCTCATACAATCCCTCCTCTTTCTTGCTAACTGGACTCCCAGAGCTCCACCTGGAGTTTGGCCGTGGATCTCTGCATCTGCTTCCATCAGTCATTGGATGAGAGTTCTACCATGACAGTTAGGTGTTTGGCCATCCGATCACCAGAGTAGGTCAGTTCAGGCTTTCTCTTGAACATTGCCAGTAGTCTATTGTGGAGGTATCTTTGTGGATTTCTGGGGACCATTCTAGCACTTTGCTTCTTCCTATTCCCATGGGGTCTTCATTTGTCATGGTCTCTCTTTTCTTGTTCTGCCTCTCTGTTCTTGATCCAGCTGGTATCTCCCACTCCTCTACACTCTCTTTCCCTGATCCTTGCCCTTCATTACCGCCCCACGTCTGTAGCTAAGTTTTCCTGCCTGGCCCACAGTCAGGATAAATCTCTGACACCCGCCAGTCCCACAACCGCTCAGACCCGACCAAGTAAACACAGAGACTTATATTGGTTACAAACTGTATGGCCGTGGCAGGTTTCTTGCTAACTGTTCTTACAGCTTAAATTAATCCATTTCTATTAATCTATACCTTGCCACGTGGCTTGTGGCTTACCGGCATCTTTACATGTTGTTTCTCATCATGGCGGCTGGCAGTGTCTCTCTCACTTAGCCTTCCACTTCCCAGCTCTATTCTCCCCCTTGTCCTGCCTATACTTCGTGCCTGGCCACGGGCCAATCAGTGATTTATTTATTGACCAATCAGCAACACAATTGACATACAGACCATCCCACAGCACTTCCCCTTTTCTTTTCTTAAAAAGGAAGGTTTTAACCTTTACACATCTCCAAAGTCAGCTTGGTATATTTGGGAATTTGGGCGTAGCTTCTCTTATTACTTCCTGCTGGAGGGGGGTGCTGTATCTTATGGGGACACAAAGAAAATTTTAGGATTATGGAGTAGTCCATGAGGGTGTATCGTCTGAGCCAGTTGCCTTGAAACGGTTCTGGATGTTGGATCATCTGGGCCATGGTGTCATCGGAGACCTTTCAGGTGGTCTTGGCTGGTCAAACCTGATGTATCTTAATCTGGAACAAATCCATAGCCTCTGGCTTTCTGTGGAAACAAAAGAGACTCTTTTCCAAAGCAACATATCCTTATATCCAAATTTTGAAGACAAGGTACCTTTAAAATATACATTTTGGAATAACTCAACAGCTTTTGTAATCAAATGTTTTTCTTCAGTTACAAATATCAAAGAGAACATAATCCAGATTTTCTGTGTGGTAGCCATCTTTACGTGGCTTATTTTTTTATATTAGCTTGAGCCTATTGCTTTGAACTGAAATGGCGCTGGCGCACTTCAGCTTCCCAACATGGCGGTGATACGTTTTCCGCCAGCTCTGGGAGCCATCAACTCTCAGAAATAGTGGGTTTATGCTTCTATCAAAGCAGCGTGTAGCCCCAGAAACCTCTTTTTGTTTTGTTTTGTTTTGTACTAGCAAAGGCTAAATCCACCACACAGCTTAATGTGCCACTTGCAGAGACCTCATTCCCGCCATACTGCAGGTCGAGCATGCATGCACGCTAGGAACCCGCCAGTAGCTCAAACCGGCAGGCTGCCGCTAACTTGAAAGGGACAACTAGGAACTGTTTTTAGCTCCATTTTAGAATCTTTTTACTCAGTTTTTAGGTGGAAACTCTTGCCACCACGTTGGATGCCATTTGTAGCTAAGTTTTCCTGCCTGGCCCACAGTCAGGATAAATCTCTGACACCCGCCAGTCCCACAACCGCTCAGACCTGACCAAGTAAACACAGAGACTTATATTGGTTACAAACTGTATGGCCGTGGCAGGCTTCTTGCTAACTGTTCTTACAGCTTAAATTAATCCATTTCCATTAATCTATACCTTGCCACATGGCTCGTGGCTTACCGGCATCTTTACATGTTGTTTCTCATCATGGCGGCTGGCAGTGTCTCTCTCCTCAGCCTTCCACTTCCCAGCTCTATTCTCCCCCTTGTCCCACCTATACTTCGTGCCTGGCCACGGGCCAATCAGTGATTTATTTATTGACCAATCAGCAACACATTTGACATACAGACCATCCTACAGCACACGTCCACTTTGCTCATGTTTATCATCCATTTCTCTGTCATTGGGCGATCCCTGTGTCTTTCTTACAGTCCTCCTTACTAGGTAGCCTCCCTGGAGTTGTGAGTAGCAGTCTAGTCATCCTTTGTTTTACATCTAGTATCTGCCTATAAGTTAGTGCCTACCATGTTTGTCTTTCTAAGCCTGGATTACCTCACTCAGGATGATTTTTTTCTAGATCCATCCATTTGCCTGCCAACCACACAATGTCATTGTTTTTCTCTGCTGAGTAGTACTCCATTGTGTATATGTACCACATTTTATTTATCCATTCTTCAGTTGAAGGTCATCTAGGTTGTTTCCAGGTTCTGACTATCACAAATAATGCTGCTGTGAACATAGCTGAGCATTTGCCCATGTGGTATGATTGAACATTCCTTGGGAATATGCCCAAGAGTGGTATAGCTGGGTCTTGGGGGAGATTGATTCCCAATTTTATAAGAAAGCTCCATATTGATTTCCAAAGTGGCTGTACAAGCTTGCACTCCTACCAACAGTGGACGAGAGTTCGCTGTGCTCCACATCCTCTCCAGCATAAGCTGCCTTTAGTGTTTTTGATCTTAGCCGTTCTGACAGGTGTAAGGTGGTATCTCAGAGTTGTTTTGATTTGCATTTCCCTGATGATTAGGGATGTTGAGCAATTCCTTAAATGTCTTTCAGCCATTTGAGTTTCCTCTGTTGAGAATTCTCTGTTTAGTTCTATAGCCCATTTCTTAATTGAACTGTTGGGCATTTTGATGTCTAATTTCTTGAGTTCTTTATATATTCTAGATATCAGCCCTCTGTCAGATGTGGTGATGGTGAAGACCTTTATCGATTCTGTAAGCTGTCACTTGTCTTGTTGACCATGTCCTTTGCTCTACAAAAGCTTCTAAGTTTCAAGAGGTCCCATTGATTGTTTCTCTCAGTGTCTGTGCTACTGGTGTTATATTTAGGAAGTGTTCTCCTGTGCCAATGCATTCAAAACTACTTCCTACTTTCTCTTCTATCAGATTCAGAGTAACTGGATTTATGTTGAGGTCTTTGATCCACTTGGACTTAAGTTTTGTGCACGGTGACAGATATGGATCTATTTGTAGCCTTCTACATGATGACATCCAGTTATGCCAGCACCAATTGGTGAAGATGCTGTCTTTTTTCCATGGCACAGTTTTCATTTCTTTGTCAAAAATTATATGTTCATAGGTGTGCAGATTAATGTCAGGGTCTTCAATTCAATTCCATTGGTCCACATGTCGGTTTTTATGCCAGTACCAAGCTGTTTTTATTACTGTGGCTCTATAGCAGAGCTTTAAGTCAGGGATCGTGATGCCTCCAGAGGTTGTTTTATTGTACAAGATTCTTTTGGCTATCCTGGGTTTTTTTTTTCCATATGAAGTTGAGTATTGTTCTTTCTAGGTCTGTGAAGAACTGTGTTGGTATTTTGATGGGTATTGCATTGAATCTGTATATTGCTTTTGGTAGATTGCTGTTTTATTATGTTAATCCTGCCTATCCATCTATCCATGAGCATGGGAGATCTTTCCATTTTCTGACATCTTCTTCAATTTCTTTTTTCAGGGACTTAAAGTTCTTGTCATACAGGTCCTTCACTTGGTCAGTTAGAGTTACCCCAAGGTATTTTATATCATTCGTGGCTATTGTAAAGGGTGATGTATCTCTGATTTCCTTCCCAGCCTGTTTGTCAATTTTATATAGGAGGGCTACTGATTTTTTTTATCAGTATCCTGTATAATCTTGTATCCTGCTATGTTGCTGAATGTGTTTATAAGCTGTATGATTTCCTTGGTCAAATTTTTGGGGTCACTCATGTATACTATCATGTCATCTGCAAATAGCGAAATTTTGACTTCTTCCTTTCAAATTTGTATCCCCTTAATCTCCTTATGTTGTCTTATTGCTCTGGCTAGAACTTCAAGTACTGTATTGAATAAGTATTGGGAGAGCGGACAGCCTTGCCTTGTTCCTGATTTTAGTGGAATCACTTTGAGTTCTCTCCATTTACTTTGATGTTGGTTGTTGGCTTGCTGTAAATTGCCTTTATTATGTTTAGGTGTGTTCCCTGTATTCCAAGACCTTTATCATGAAGGGGTGTTCGATGTTGTCAAATGCCTTTTCTGCATCTAGTGAAATGATCATGTGGTTTTTTTTTTCTTTGAGTTTGTTTATATGGTGTATTACATTGACAGACTTTCATATGTTGAACCACCCTTGCATCCCTGGGATGAGGCCTACTTGATCATGGTGGATAATTGCTTTGAGGTGTTCTTGGAGACTGTTTACCAGTATTTTATTGAGTATTTTTGCATCAGTGTTCATGAGGGAGATTGGTCTGTAGTTCTCTTTCTTTGTTGCATCTTTGTTTGGCTTGGGAATCAGAGTAATTGTAGCCTCATAGAAGGAGTTTGGTAATGTTCCTTCTGTTTCTATTGTGGGAAACAATTTAAAGAGTATTGGTATTAACTCTATTTTGAAGATCTGGTAGAATTCTGCACCAAAACCATCTGATCCTGGGCTGTTTTGGTTGGGAGACTTTTAATTACTGATTCTATTTCCTTAGGGGTTATTGGACTGTTTAAATAGTTTATCTGGTCTTGATTTAACTTAGGTATGTGGCACCTATCCAGAACATTATCCATTTCTTTTAGATTTTTCCAGTTTTGTGGAATAGAGGTTTTTGAATTATGACCTGATGATTCTCTGGATTTCCTCAGTGTTAGTTGTTATGTCTCCCTTTTCATTTCTGATTTTGTTAATTTGGATGCTCCATCTCTCTGCCTTTTTGTTAGTTTGGATAAGGGCTTGTCTATCTTGTTGATTTTCTCAAAGAACCAACTCTTTGTTTCATTAATTTTTTGTATTGTTCTCTTTGTTTCTATTTTATTGATTTCAGCTGTCAATTTGATTATTTCCTGGCATCTATTTTTCTTGGGTGACTTTGCTTCTTACTGTTCTAGAGCTTTCAGGTGTGCTGTTAAGTCACTAGTGTGAGATTTCTCCAACTTCTTTATGTGGACATTTAGTGCTATGAATTTCCCTCTTAGCACTGCTTTCATAGTGTGCCATAAGTTTGGGTATGTGGTATATTCATTTTCATTGATCTCTAGGAAGTCTTCAATTTCTTTATTTCTTTCTTAACCCATTGGTGATTCAATTGAGCATTATTTAGTTTCCATGAGATTGTAGGCTTTCTGTAGTTTTTGTTGTTGTTGAAATCTAACTTTAAACTGTGGTGGTCTGATAGAACATAGGAGGTTATTCCAATTGTTTTGTATCTGTTGAAATTTGCTTTGTTGCCAAGTATGTGGTTGATTTTAGAGAAGGATCCATGAGGTGCTGAGAAGGTATATTCTTTTTTGTTAGGATGGAATATCTGTAGATATCGATTAAGTCCATTTGAATCATAACATCAGTTAAGACCTTTATTTCTCTGTTAAGTTTAGATTTGGCAGGTCTGTACAGTGGTGTGAGTGAGGTGTTGAAGTCTCCCACTATTAATGTGTGGGGTTTTATATATGATTTAAGCTTTAGTAATGTTTCTTTTACATATGTGGGTATCCTTGTGTTTGGGGCATAAATGTTCAGAATTGAAACTTCATCTTGGTGGATATTTCCTGTGATGAGTATATAATGCCCTTCTTGATCTCTTTTGATTGATTTTAGTTTGAAGTCTATTTTGCTGGATATTAGGATGGCCACACCTGCTTGCTCCTTAAGACCATTTGATTGGAAAGAATTTTCCCAACCTTTTATTCTTTGGTAGTGTCTATCTTTGAATTTGAGGTGTGTTTCTTGTATGCAGCAGAAAGATGGGTCCTGCTTTAATATCCATTCTGTTAGCGTTTGTCTGCTTATAGGTGAATTAACTCCATTGATATTAATGGATATTAATGGCCAGTGATTGTTCATTCCTGTTATATTTTTGGTGGTAGTGTGTATGTACTTCTCTTCTTTGGGGTTTACTGCTGTGGTGTTTTTCTATTGCCTGTGTTTTTGTGGGTGTATCTGACTTCCTTAGGTTGGAATTTTCCTTCTAGTGCTTTCTGTAGGGCTGGGTTTGTGGATAAGTATTGCTTAAATCTGGCTTTGTCTTGGAATGTCTTGTTCACTCCGTCTATGATGATAGAAAGTTTTGCTGGGCATATTAGTCTAAGCTGGCATCCATGGTCTCTTAGTGTCTGCATTATATCTGTCCAGGTCCTTCTGGCTTTCAAAGACTCCATTGAGAAATTGGGTGTTATTCTGATGGCTTTGTCTTTATAAGTCACTTGGTCTTTTTCCTTTGTTGCTCTTAAATTTTTTTTCTTTATTCTGTATGTTTAGTCGTTGAATTATTATGTGGCGAGGGGACTATTTTTGGGGGGGGGGGGTCTAGTCTGTTTGGTGTTCTATAGGCTTCTTGTATCTTCATAGGCATTTCCTTCTTTAAGTTGGGAAAATTTTCTTCTATGATCTTGTTGAATATATTTTCTGTGCCTTTGAGTTGGTATTCTTTTCCTTCCTCTATCCCTATTATTCATAGGTTTGGTCTTTTCATGGTGTCCCAGAGTTCTTGGACATTTTGTGTTATGATTTTTTTGGGCATCGGTATTTTCTTTGACTGATGAATCCATTTCCTCTATTGTATCCTCTACACCAGAGATCCTCTCTTCCATTTCTTGTATTCTGTTGGTTATGCTTGCATCTGTGTTTCCTGTTCATTTACTCAGATTTTCTATTTCCAGCATTCCCTCTGTTTATGTCTTCTTCATTGTTTCTATTTCCCTTTTCAGATTTTGGACTGTTTCCCTCACCTGTTTCATTGCTTTCTCATGGCTTTCTTTAAAGGAATTATAGTTTTCTTCTGCTTTATTTGTCCTTTCCTATAGTTTTTTTATAGAGTTCTTCCCATTTTTTGTTTGCTTTTCATTTTCTTTACTGATTTCCTCCACTTTTTGGTTTATCTCTTTCTCAATTTCATATTTGATTTTTTCTTTAAAGGCCTCTAGCATCTTCATGATGCTATTCTTAAGGATACTTTCTTCTCCTTCTTCCACTCTGTGATGTTCAGGTCTTGCTGTTGGAGGAGGGCTAGATTCTGGTGTTGCTGTATTGCTCTTTATGTTGTTGTATGTACTTCTGCTTTGACATCTGCCCATCTACTCGTGGATTCATTCTTGGTTTTATAAGGGCTCTTGGTCTAGTCAGAACTGACAGATTTGGCATTTCAGGAAGCCTCTCTTGTATAGATGTAACCACCTTTTAAAATAAGAAACACAGAGTGGATTCAGACATGAAAGCCAAGAGGTCAGAGCAATAGGTAAGAGCTGAGATTAAAAACCTTACCCTTTACTGCCGCTGCTGTCCTACCTCTCCACAAGAGAGCTACTTCCTGTGTGTTTGTGCTTTTTATTGACTTTCTATTCTGCCTTCTCATTGGTTGTAAATCCAACCACATGACCTCCTCATCACTGCCCATCTGTACAGACCTCCAGGTCTTCTATGGTTGGTATTGAGATTAAAGGCATGTGTCTCCATACTGGCTGTATCCTTGAACACACAGACATCGGCCTAGCTCTGCCTCCCAAGAGCTAGGATTAAAGGCATGCAGCACCACCGCCCAGCTTCTGTGATGGCTTGCTATTAGCTCTGACCCCCAGGCAACTTTATTTATTAACATGCAAATAAAATCACATTTCAGTACAATTAAAATATCACCATATTTCCCCTTTTCTATTTTAATAGTGCTGTGGGATGTTCTGTATGGCAAATATGTTAATAAATAAAACACTGATTGGCCAGTGGCCAGACAGGAAGTATAGGCGACACTAACAGAAAAGAGAATTAAGGGAACAGGAAAGGAAGGAGGACACTGCCAGCTGCCACCAGCACAAGCAGCATGTGAAGATGCCGGTAAGCCACAAGCCACGTGGCAAGGTATAGAGTTATAGAAATGGGTTAATTCAAGATATAAGAACAGTTAGCAAGAAGCCTGCCATGGCCATACAGTTTGTAAATAATGTAAGTATCTGTGTGTTTATTTTATAAGTGGGCTGTCGGACTGCCAGGGCTTGGCAGAACCCAGAGAGAGAACTCCAGCTACTCTCTTGGTCCAATGAGAGGTGGTGGATTCTACTTCTCAGAAAGCCACTCTTGGTCTAATCAGGGCTGGCAGATTCCCTGTCTCCTGATGTTACTCTTGGTCCAATGACAACTCTTTCCAATGAGAGCTCTCTCTTCCTCTGGGCCAGATGGGAGCTCCCTGGGCCAAATGGGAGCTATCTGGGCCTGATGAGAGCTCTCTGGGCCAAATGGGAGCTCTGGGCCAGATGGGAGCTCTCTGGGCCAGATGGGAGCTCTCTAGGCCAGATGGGAGCTCTGGGCAAGATGGGACCTGGGGGCTGGTCTCTAAGTCTCAGGAAGTGGATGGGGTCTGTGGTAGATGGGTGTGGCGGCAGGGCATGTAGATTTCAGGGTCCACTGGGGAGTCTTAGAGAAGGGGAACCTTCCCAGTGGAGCCCTGCCTGCTGGCCATCAACTAGGGCCCAGTTGGGCGGGTCTTCCCCCAGGAATGGCTGGGCCCGGGCATGGGACCTAGGGCCAGGCCTCCCTGGTATGATCCCAGACACTCACCTCTGGTCCAGATGGGAGCTCTGGGCAGGATCCCTTTATCTTTTCAAAGAAAAGTGTGAGACAGTCACTGTCACCACAATTCAGATTTTTGACTTTGGACTAGAAGATTTTTTTTCTGCAGACACAGATGGTCAGCCTGGCTCAGTTCATTCACTTATGCTTTTAACTATCTTCTTTTTACCTTCCTTAGGAAGAATTTCATAATGCCTGTGATTATTATTGAGCATTTCCACAAATGTTTACATCATATTCAGGAAAAGGTAATCTTAAGTGGCATTTCATTATCTTTCTTTGGTGAATAAATATTTGACTGTGAAGTACCCTGGAACCTAACTGAAACATGAACAATTAGGAAGTTGTGTGACTTCGTTACTTAAGTTTTGTTTTGTTTTGTATTGTTTTTTTTTAAGACACGATTTATTTGTATAACTTTGGAGTCTATCCTGGAACTCACTCTGTAGAACAGGCTGGCATTGAAGCATTTAATTAATTTTAAGAAGAATTCATTACTGTTTATTTATTCCCTGTGGGCTCTGTAATTATTTTGGATACCTTCTGTCTTAGTTAGGGTTTGTATTATTATGAAGAGACACCATAACCACAGCAACTTTTATAAAGGAAAACCTTTAATCAGCTGTGGCTTACAGTTTCAGAGGTTTAGTCCATTGTCATCATGGCAGGACATGGAGGCATGCAGGACATGTCAGGACATGGAGAAGGAGCTGGGAGTGGAGAAGGAGCTACATCTGGACCCCACAGGCAACAAAAGTGCTCTGAAACACCAGGAGTGTCTTTAGCATAAGAGGCCTCAAAGCCCTCCCCCACAGTGACATACAACCTCCAACAAGGCCACACTTACTCCAACAAAGCCAAACCTCCTAATAATGCCACTCCATATGAGCTGATGAGGGCCTGTTCCATTCAAATTGCCATTCCTCCAAGGTATCCTTAGAAGGGAGAATTGAACAGTTTTATTTGTTGGCTCTAATAGAAGACGTTTTTTGAAGAAGAGAGAACTTTTTTTAAAAAATGAGAGTGTTATCATTTGGTTGACAAATAAGAGTTTTAGAAGAAAAATAGTAAATGCAGGAGGAAAAATACTTTTTCCTTCTACCCACATTTAGTCCCTTTTTGGGGACTCCATAACAAAGCAGAGACAGAGAGGAGAAAAGCATGGAGACTTACCTAGTACAAACTTTCACAACACCAGATCCTTCCCAAGGAAGGAAAGCCCTCAACAAGTGCTGAGACCTGAGATTTTATACTGGAGTTGATGACAAGTGGAATGTTATAGAGTGTGTGACAAAATAAAACCATTATGAGCCAAGCAGGTGAATGGCAAATAGTGAGGGCTTTTGGCTCCTGTCCCCTGTGTATGCCTTCATCAGTCTGTAGCTATGAGGCTGCTCCTTTCTTTCCTCCATGGAGGGACATGTGGTGCTTCTGACCTGTTTCAGGAAATGTCAGGAAGCCCTTTCTAGGTTTTATGAGCAGCTTCAGGGTAAAAGCAGAGTCCTTCCTCACATTCATTCTTTGGCTCAAATTCTCCCCATGACTAGCCACCATGTTTTGAGATAGCATATTCTGAGCACTATCAAATATTAAATAAAGCCAAACGTCTGGGTATAATTTCCGAGTGAGTAGTTGCATTCATATAGGTCCTGAAATACAACATTTAGAGCGATTATGAATTTAAACATGAACATTAGTATATCCTGTTCTGTGCACATTATTTTGCATCATCTTTTCAGTAATTGTTGTTTAAAAAGGATTGAGAGACTAAAATGTATTCGTTAATTCATCTAATTGGAATGTTTTTCATTAAGTCTTTGAGACTTTAGGATTTAGAAGGTTAACTTCTGAAGTACCTTAGAAATTTTATTTTGACACTTGTAATATTATATTTAGATATGTGTGAACACTACTATAACTGATTAAATGCTAGAACCTGGACTGTCCACAGGGCCATACATAGCACTAGTAACCCATAGTTTTACAACAGAAAAATGCACGAGAAACACAAGATAGATTCTCAGAGGCACAATGCCAAGAAGGAACATGCCATTTCATTAACTCACCCTGGAATCTTGCTTGGTGATTTTTAGTATTCAGTGGTGGTTTTCATTATGAACTCACTCACCTGCATGGCAGAGTAACTTCACTTTTGCCTTTTCCTGTCTATTACTCTGGGCAAGCAGTTTCTTCCAGCTAGACAGATAACAGTCCTTCCTTCAAGAATCTTACCCCCAGGGTTAGCTTTAATTAAGAGCATCCATCATTTGAAACAAATGTCTGCACAAATCATTCACAGTGCACTTTGATATACATTGTTCTCTAAATTTCAGAACCATAAAAACCCCTCTAAGACAAATCCTCAAGTTGATCATGAAAAGTACCAGGGAAGGGACACTGAGATGACAAGGTAGGTGAAAAGAGAGAATTTCCTCCTCCCAGTTTGTTCCTTTGTCTCCACATGAGCAGAATGACAGAATAGTATGGCATGTATTGTTTGTCACCTGTCTGTCTGTCTATCTATCTGTCTGTCTATCTATCTATCTATCTATCTATCTATCTATCATCTTCCCCTTCTCTCTAAATAAATACATTGTTTTTAAAGTACCCATCAGTAGATTTCCATATATTCATCATATGAATGTTTATTTTTAAAATGACTGAATAAACAAATACTGTTTAAAATCATGGGAAAATCACCTTTGCTAGGAGATAATAGTTTTTAACCATAGCCAAAACAGAATCTGCCCCTTAACTTTGTGGATATGAAACTCTCAATCCTTCCCTCATAAAAGGTGTGAATTTCTACTTTGTTTTAAAGGATCTATCATTTAATTTTCCCAGGTCCATCTGTTAGTTTGGTAGAACCATTGGCTTTGTGCCATTGGTGGTTTTAATCCGCTGTGCCTGTGAGAAGATAGCACTGTGGTGTGAGGCTAGTGTTTGTACTCATGTCATAAAGATGTTGACAATTTAACTTAGATGGAAAATCACTCCAGGCTCAAAATTGTTGTAAATAGAGAGGGAGGAGGGAACTAATGTGAGAAAAGTGGCAAATTTTCATATCCCTTTCTCCTAGTTGGTTTGTCTTCTGTTTCTGGAGAAATATAAGTGGTGTTGTCTTATTGGGTAGGACGGTTTCCCAATGCTTACACCAATCCTATCAATCTTGGTAGGCACACCTGCAAACCCAGAACTAAGAAGCAAGGGAAGAAGTATCTTGAGTTGATGGAACCCTTACCTGTCCCCCATTACTCCATTTTCTCAGCACAAGAGATGATTATATACACACGCTCATTGATCAATTCCAAGACATGCTAAGCATGTGTCAGTTAATGGCATCAGCTAAAAGAAATGTTTTCATCACAGTGATTTAATTCTTAGTAAAGATGTAGCATTCCCTCTTCATTATGCAATTTGTGTTTCCTATATCCTCACAGGTCTAAATTTGAAGTTTCCTATATTGGATCATCCACGTGATGAGTACTGCAATGCTGAGTCTCTTTATTGGAAGGTAATGTACACGATTCTAAAAAGTGGAGTAAATCATGGTTCTATGAAGGTTCAGATGGCCAAGGACCCATTTTCTATAACAGACCAAAACCATAGGTAGACAAGGAGAAACTCTTCAAATGCTGTTCTTTGGCAACTTGTGCTGTTTTACCTGTTGGGGAGCATCAGTAGGGACAGTGACTAGGCAAGGACAATGACAAGTGGTTTCTTCTAGTGTTATATTTCTCCTGAGGCCCAATGGATCAGGGATTTTATGGGATTTATCATGCACGTGCCCATTCCCAGTGTTACTGATTTCATCCTGGGCTATAAGACTCTTGTTCTAGGAGACATGATCATGCATTTAAACTCTTATGATACCCAGAGCTTTTAGGTCCCCTTCTCTGGCTGCTCATAGACTTCTTTTTCTTTAGTCTTACCTCTGTTTTTTGTTCATTTCTTTCCATTTCTGATGGCTGCCGCCTTCTTCTGCCTTTGCTGTTCTTGAAGGATTCAAGGGTTTTTGCAGCTGAGATCCTCTCTCAACCCTATTACTGCCATTGGGAGGAATACCCAGAATGCTCTCCTCAGTCATTTTATTTCTGGTATCAGCTTGGGACACCAGGAACAAAGTAGGCTTCTTGGAAGTATTTCATATGTGGGGAACCAAGTGCTTGTTTTCCAAAGACTGCACAGGAATGTCTCATTCCTTCATTAAAAACCCCCTTTTCATCATATTGAGAAATAAAATACTACTGGGAAATGACATCGTTTGAATGGGAAGGAGGGAGGATCACCTGGCTTAAATACAGGAGCATGGAAACACACCTGGGAAGATCCTGCAGGGCTGGTTACACTGTTGGAATTGGCTTGGGGGTACACTCAGAGAAGCCACATGCCTAGCTGTTGAAAACTTCCTCAGAGGTGCCTCAGCAGATAGACAATATACCTGTGAGGATGTGTAATGAACTGCTGGCAGAGGTAACTTGAACAGTGCAACCCCCAGGAGAAAAATTCCTCAAGTTGAGTGTGGTTCCCTCCATTCTGCACTTAAGAGACCAAAACGAGATAGATTGCATGCCTCTGTGAGATACACATTGAGATTAACTGTTGAAAAAAGAAAAAGCAGTCAGGCAGTGGTGGTGCATGCCATTAATCCCAGCTTGTGGGAAGCAGAGGCAGGTGAATTTCTGTAAGTTCGAGGTTAGCTTGGTCTACAAAGCAAGTTCCAGAACAGCCATAGCTGTTACACAGAGAAACTCTGTCTCAAAAAAAATCAAAAAAAGAAAAAGGAAAGAAAAGGCAAAGGGGGAAAAGACAATAGCTGTGGACATGGCTCAGTTGGCGGAATGATTCCTACCATGTAGGAAGCTCGGGGTTCAATCACCACCCACACTCGGCAAGTTCCCACTTCTTTAGTCCACACAGGAGGGACTGGAGAGTCCAGAGTTTGTTCACCCAGGATATTTCTTCTAATCATAGAGCAGTTTCTATGCCTAGAGAGGTGAGGAGGTTTGGGTGCATCCTCTGGTACACTGTGATTTTCATTAATTACTTGATGTCTCACAAAGCAAGTTTACATTTTTGTTGAGTTCCGTCTCTGTCAATGAACAAGGAAGGATGTGGGGCTTTTCATTTCACCAGCATACTGACAGTCTAGAGTTCAAGCCCAAGCTTTTGCTCCTCATTTGTTTTTGAATTCACTTCCTAAGTGTTTCAGGCTCTGTCATTTCAGTATTAGAGGAAGTTGAGGTTCCCAGCAGCAGCCATGCTCACAGAGTCCACACAGAAGTGTCTCTGTGAGAAACATGACCTCCTCCTGAACATCACTACTTCTTGAGTATACTGAACAAACTGCCTGATAGTGCTGAACACAATCAAAGCAGAAGAATATAAAATATACTTCTATTCCACCTGGTAAGACAGAAAACCAAGTCTGAACTTAGGTTAATGTACAGGAATCTCTGGGATACTTGTGGAAATGAGGGATTGCTTCCCTGTCACTCTGAGAGTCTGAATTGGGAACTGGAATCCACATAACAGTTCATATGAAAATAGAAGGATTAACTACATTAAGTCCATGGTACTTAAATTCTTTCCTATCAATATATTCTTTCTCCTCCATATGTTAAATACACATCAAAAATCATGCCATACATGCTAATTGGTGCCTTAAATTCCAGGACTCAGAAAGCATAGACAGGTAGACTCTGTGAATTCAAAGTCGGCCTAGTCTACAGAGTAAAATTTAGGATAGTCTTGGCTGTAGAGTGAGATCCTGTCTCAAAAGACAAAAGGAAAACAATAAAAAGAAGTTACCCAAAAAAAGGTGAGGCATAGTGATGTACACTTGTAATCCCAACACAATGGATGCAGAGGCATTTGGATGTCTGTAGGCCAGCACAGGCTACATGATGAGTTTCAGGACTACATACAGAGACCCTGTCTCAAACATCATCAACAATAAGAATGTTACCAGAAACTGCATAACACATGAACCTACACATGAGAATAGTTTGTGAATGTTTCAGTAAGAATCTAAGATCCAGGACACTAAAAATCTCCCTTCATTTTCATTTTATGTGTATGGGGGTTTTGCCTGAATGTATGTCTCTGTAGCACATCATTGCACTGCCCAAAGAGGTTGGAAGAGGGCAAAATGTCTTCTGGAACTGGAGTTAGAGAGGGCTGTGAACTACCTTTTGGCGAGTGGACTGCAACCTGGGTACTCTACAAGAGCAATCATACAGTGAAATTTGTATTAATGCATCTGAGTAGTAGGTCCCAGTAATTCATACTTTGAATTACAACTTGCAGAATATTCCAAGGTCAGTATTTGCTGCTCTGTACATCAGCAGAGGTTACCATTTCTAATGGGAGCAGTGCATTCAGTAACTACTTGATAAATTAACATGTACATTTTGTGCACATGCACTTTTCAGGTATTTCTGGTTCCTACCTATGTGGAAAGATGCTGATGTCTATGTACCATCATTAATACAAGGCTAACATTTTTATTTTAAATATTGTGTTAATTTAGTTTTATATTCATATTTTTATTTTAAGTTCTTTGAGACAATTCTATTCCTGGAAGTGTGTCCTAAGTTCAGCCCAAGGCAAGGGCTGCAAGCATCAAGCATGGAGAATTTGCACAGACTTAATGGTAAATAGTCATAGATCCCTTAAGGACCCATCTGTTAGAATATGTGTAAGTAAGATCTCTGAAATCTTTTTAGAATATAAATGTGAAGGTAACATAAAGGGCTGTAGTTGTTAGGGCACATCACTCAATAATGTTCAAGCAAAGGGATGATGGCTGCATTAGCCCATTCTCTGATGATTTAGCCAAACTCCTGATGGTGTGTACTATGCAAAGAAGGGAAATGTTAAGCAATAGAAGACACAAGTTGCATTTTACTAAAGAGTACACACTTAGAAAAAAACTCTGTTAGAGCCAGAGACATCAGAAGTCATTATGTTTTGGGTACATCAGTTTTCTTTTCTAGGAAAATGTCTAAGCAGAGATAATACATTTATGTACCTCACAATATTAAGGGCTTTAAGAGGCAGTGGACAAAAACAGAACCTGGGTCTTTCCTGCAAGCTTTGAGTGTCCTGGGATGATATTAGAGAAGATGGCTTGCTTCTTCTAGAATATAGTGGCTATGTGCTGTCCCCCGCATCTCACTTCCAGCATCAGCAAGGTTCTAGAGTGATCAGGCAGATGACCTGGGCATCTCCATCCACATGAGTGTTTGTGAACTGTGCCAATTTTCTCTTGGCTTCTGAGGTCAGACTTGAGGGTTGTGAAACTAAGCTGTATCCTGTGCCACTCTAAATGAGCTTGAGGAGGCTGTCCCCTGGTTACCTGAAGGATGTAAAAGGAAGGAAAAAAGCTAGCTGACCAATGCGACTCTCTTTTCTGTAGAAAAGGGTTAGGGTTGTCATCCAGAGACTGATAGTCTCAAGACTACATTTTGAGAATCTGCTAGGCAAAGTCTTATCTCCCTAAATGCAAGGCAGGAATAGTATGTTCAGGACTTTCCTGGGTAAGCTCAGAAGCAACATTCCTGGGAGAAGGCATAAATGATTCATAAGGAATTTTCCATCAACCCAATATCCTCAAATTGTGCAAATATTAAAAGTGACCCAAGTATGTAACAGGTGGAGATGTAAACCAAAGGTGGCATGGCAACCATGATGTGGCTCAGTTTTGCTGGATCTTTGTCAAGCAGCTGTGCTGGCTTTATAACTTCTGCCATTCCGTTCAGATATGGCTGTGCCAGCTAATCACATCTTCACTCACAGCCTCATAGCTTGAGTGAGCTCTGTTTACTCTCAAGGGGAAATGTTTATTACTACCTATGTGACTTCTCTTTGTTTTGAACTCACGAATCTCTAAAAGTCTGAGCATCTTCCCCCATGATGTTTACTTCAGAGGACTCATCGCTTCTACTCCCCATCATCCTGACCCAATTTCTTAGCATCATTTATTTCTCATCATACTGAGTATGGATCTGAAGCAAGGGAAGAGCCATTCCTGTACAGTGTTTTGAAAGTGAGCCTTCAACTCCCCATAGATAGTTTCTAATGAAGCAGAGAGCTAGATCTCTGACTTTGGAAAGAGGGTGTTCCAAAGAAGTTTCTGTGTGACCTCCCAGGGAGGTTTCTGATATGGCACCTTGGTTTCAGATCAGTTTGGAGTGAAGTAGTTATCAGGGAGATAAAGGCTGTACTGTGGACATCAGCCGACTCCTCCCTGGACATTCTACTGTATCCTGGAGAGCCCTGGCATTCTATGTGATGTCACCAGTGTTGTGGTAACACCAACTGCCATTGGGGCATCTGTTCATTGCCTTAAGATTTTCACTTGCAGCCATGTTGGCAAGACTGACCAGGCTCCTTGGGAGACATAAGGGAGAACATAATGAGACTAGAGAGAGGCAGAAGGAAGCTGGACTTCATTCTCAGTGCCACAAATCAAGAAATAAATGGTTCCGGGTAAAGCACAGTGAGTCCTGAACAAGGGATGGGGAGCTTCCTGAAGGAGGAAGGCTTCAGCTTGGTTTTTCAGATGGGACTCAAGATCTTGGAGCATTTTGGAAGTAATGGACCTATTACACTTCTCTGAGTTCCTAAAAAGCAGACCTGGAGTTGAGGATTTCTGGTGGATAGTTTGGCAGAGAGCCAGGAATGGTCAAGCCTGCAGCTGCTCTGCTCAGGGCCCTCTGCTTTCACTTCGAGTGGGAAGGAAGCATAGAAGGGAGAATGAGGCTTCAGTTACAGCACTGAACTTCACCCTCAGTGGACATTGTTTGGTTGAGTAATACTTATAACAGGCAGAGTAAAGTCCCTTGGCCAAAGTTGTGAGGGTCTCACATTTTACCTCATAGCCACTTGCACCAAGCATTGTTGCATTTTCAGTGACCCCTAAGGTTCCTGAGTTCCTGCCCGCTCACTAGCCAGTCATCTTTTCTCTACCTTGGGCGCAGGAATGGGCCATCACTCTACCTGCAAGTGTTTGTTCTTGGTGTCTTAGGGCTCACCTGAGGATGTGTAGTCCTTAGGTATCTCCAGCCTGTCCTGTCACTAGGTGGTCACACCTTTGCTAACATCATGGTGGATGGAGTGTACTCTGCTGAAGTTTTGGAGAAATTTTCATCATTACCTATGTGACTTATTTTTGGTCTGACAAGACACTCATAATCTCCCACCACTCACCCACAGTGTAACACCCCTGTTCATCTTTGCTGATATCTTCATTCACTTCATGGAACTTATCTTCCTCCCCCATCATCCTGAGCTGATTTCTTAGTATCCTTTACTTCTCATCTTATTGATTAGAGATCTTAAGGAAGGGAAGAGCCCATTCCTGGAGAGTGTTTGGAAAGAGAGTCTTCACCTCCACCGATTGAACTAGAGAAAATTTTCTAATGAATCAGAGATCTCTTGATGCTGAAGGTGCTGAAGGCCTTCCCCTGTGTCTCAGGGAAGGTTATTGGAAAGGGAAGCTTGGCTTTTTAGTGAATTGAGGAAGAGGATAGTTATCAAACAAGTGATGACAGTTGGCAGTGACTCTAACAGTCCCTCCTCTGAACATTCTATTGTCTCCTGGAGAGCCCTTGACAAGATCTGTGAATTCACCATGGTTGTGATAACACCAACTGTCCTAGGGGCATACATTAAGTGCTTATAGGGTTCACCAGAAGACATGTTGGCAAGATTGAGCACACTGATTGACAGAGAGATCTTGCTTTCTAAGGAGGAGGTGAGGCTTGGGGTGGACCTTCCAAAAATAGGGTTCAGTAGCTGGGTTCTTAAAAAGAGATAGGTATATGCTGCTTCTCTGGATTCCTGAAAGGGTAGACTCAGTGTCAAGGATTTCTGATGGTTAGTTGGCAGAGAGCAAGGAGTTTTCAAGGCTGCAGCTGCTGTTCTGGGAGTTCCTTAATTTCATTTTGAGTGGCAAAGAAGGCCAGCAGGAGTCACAGACTAAGGAGGTGTCAGGGTAGGGTGTTCCTACAGTTCATTGTCAGTGGATTCCTTTAGGTTCCATGGATATCTGATGTGAATACCAAGGAGGGAAACTCCCTATCCATGCACCAAGGTCTCAGGCATTCAGTTACTTTTAGTCCTGGACACAGGTGAAAAGGGATTGGTGGTGCTAAGCACTAGGGACTTCAGGACTTTCCTGTCTCACATCCGATATGAGCTGGTATTTCCAGAGCTGCATGGCTGGGTAACATATGCCTTCCAGGGACAGTGGAGCTGCAGTAGGGGCTGGTGCACATATCTAGCCATAGTGACTGGGGACAGAGACATGGCTTATGAGCCCCAACTTGAGGACAGCTGTCCTGCTCTTTGGGTCTTCACTGGGTTCCATGCATTCCCACTTTCTCAGGCCTCTTGGGACTCAACATGATCTCTCCTGGCCCTGTGCCATACAACTGTACAAATTCACTTATATTTATCTTTATACAGGGACTACTGGAAAGGCATCAACTCCAACCTCCCTCACTGAGCAAGAACAGCAGATGAACAAGGTGGATAAACTGACCCGTCAGCTACAGATGATGACCAATGAAAGGAATGAACTCTCTATAATCCTGGCCAATTTCACCAACAATGATTTGAACAACAGGTAGTCATTATGTCCAGTTTTATGGTGACTATCTTGATCCTACTGAGTCAACCCCAGCAATCCTCAGGTCATTGGAGGCTGTGCCTTCAGGGTATCCTCATGCCCAAGCTAATTTTTCTGAGTGCATCTGAGAGGCAGAACAGAAGCCTAGTTGGGAGTGAGATGGGGATATAGGCTGCACCTCTTCCTCCTAATGAAAAGCAGAGCTTGTGACCTGAATCACAGTCTGGGGATAAGGGCAGTAGTGTGTGAGCTCTCACATGCATTTCAAGAGTCTTTGACAGGTGTTGACTTATGGGAGATGCTATGTGCTGTGAGTTTATGGTGATTCTTTGTTCTGACCAGCAGGTGCTTGGGTGCTGGTGGCTTTTGGAAGCAGTAGGAGGGGCCAGGTGCCACTTGGTCCATCTCAGTGTGTGCTTGAAGGCTGAACTTCATCACTGCTCCTCTCTGGTCTTGATCCTTATACTCTGAGACAAGGCTACCTCCCTATATTTATTTGGCACCCTCAGTGTATCTATGCGTGTGTGTGTGTGTGTGTGTGTGTGTGTGTGTGTGTGTGTGTGTGTATCCAGTCCTGGCAGTTGCAAGTCTCTGGCAGGGCATGTGGTTCTTCCTGTGTTAGGAAGTTTCCAGGCAATGTCAGTAACTCACTGTGAGCAACAGTGTTCTTGGCCTGTGTGCTCATGTTGGCAGCCCATTGGAATCCACTGGAGACTTATAAATGTATCCTTAAGTTGGGTCTACTCCCTGAAAATACTGATTATGTGATCTGGGCATCCATGTAGCAATAGGAACCTGGGATCAAAAATCCCCATTCTGAAGACACGAACAACATTATCATAGATTTCTGGTGGCCCCAGACTTGTGACTCAGACTCCTGAGGACTTCTTAGAGAGCTAATCAATTCCTCCAGTCCCAGTGGTGGCACTCATGCAGCCCTGGCTCACTGTCTTAGCACCACCTGACTGCTGGTCTGAGGCCAGGACAGTGAGTTTAATAAACACCACATTGTCTTACTTTATAGGTGCCATAATGTGACATCAACTGTGCTGGGGTAGTTGAGGACACTGCCTGAATTTATATGATCATTGGGTCCTGTGTTCATGGGGTTCTTTGTTCCTGGGCCATGCCCTACCACAGGCTGAATTTTGAGCTGGAGATGTTGAATATGGAGCATAAAAAAGTGATGGTGGACCTGGAGAAATTCCCTAATGAGATTCGTGAGGCCTTGAACAAGTGCAAGGAGTTGACCGAGGAAACGGTCTCCTACAGGTGAGTAACTGACTTCACTGCGACCCCCATTACTTGGGAGTGACTGCTTCTTACCATGTTTTTGTCTTTGAACCAAAGTGAGGCCTTTGGTTCTAGCCTGTGTGCCCCATAGCAAGCAGTCTGCCTTGTACTCTTGACTTGGGCCTCTTGGACCAGTTTTGCCAAGAGGGAAGTGTCTGTGAGCCACTCCCATCATTGTCCTGCCAGCCTCAGAGGCCTCTAGATAGAAAAACTATTAGCACCATGATGGGGTATCAGGCATTTGTGTGTCTCTGGGGCTCTGGCAGGGGCTTACAGAGCTGGTTCCCATGGACCCATAGATGGAATATATTCCTATTGGGGTCTTCTGTCCTCCATCAAGAATGTTTACCCTCTACCTGCTGTTGTTTTCCCAATACCATGAACAGTTAAGCACATGTTGGGGGAGGCAAACCCTGCTCTCAGAAGTACATGGATCCCTTTCAGTTTCAGGGTTTTCAGAAACAGTCTGAGTCTTTCTGGAATTTGGCTCTTCTCTGGCTTTTGCCAGCTACTAGCTTATGCATGGCTACAGTGAACTCTAGTCTGGGCATGGGACCTTGCATGGATGATGTGGGAGTGGCATATGGAGGCTGGATGGGGCTCACCTTGTTCTTTGTGGTGGTTCAGCATCCTGCACAGCCAGCTCCTGAGTGAGTGGACTCATCTGAAGGAAAAAGTGAGCATCTTGAGAGAGGAGAACCGAAAGCTGAGGGGGGAGCAGATTTCACTACAAGAGTCCTGTGAGGAGCTGAGGAGGCTCTGTGGGGAGGCCCATGAGAAGATCTATGACCTCTGGGCCAAGGAAAAGCAGGTAGGCTGAGGTATTGTGTGCAGGCTGCCCACCATCTTTAATCATACAGATGTGCATCCACATGCAAACACACACACACACACACACACACACACACACACACACACACACACACACTCACACACTCACACACACACACTCATGGGACCATCCACCCACTTATCCATCAGATCACCAACATCTCATCCAATTGTTGGTTTCTGTGATCATTCCTAAGTCTTTCTGGAGAGTTAGCCTCTTGTGAGATCACATGTTGGAAACAGCTTTGAAGGAGCAGTGCCCTGTGAAAATGCCAAAGGAGTGGTTCTCATTGTCACCCTTTTTATCTTCTCTCAAATGTTACATCTCAACATCAGTTCCCCCTCCACCCCTCCTCCCACTCCTTCACCCCCAGATCCCTCCTACCCCAGGTCCACTCCTCCTTAATTTCCCTTCAAAAAGTAGCAGGCCTCCCATGCTTTTATTTAATTATTAAAATAATATTGAACCCCTGGCTTTGCAAATGCTTGTTACATGTTCTAACAATGAGCTATATCCCCAGTCTTTTAAAATCCTAATTAATGGTCACACCAAGTTGCACAGATTAACTTTGAACTCACAGTACAGTTCAGACTAGCCTTGATATTCAGTTCTTCTGTCTCAGCCTCTGAGTAGCTAGGATGATGGGTGTGCATTTACAGGCTCAAACCTAGTCTAAATACTTCAATTAAAACTAATACTTAAACCAAATGTCAAAAGTCAATGGATTATAAATTTGTGTTTTTAAGACATAGGTGCTAAATTATTAGTGATCTCAAAAACATCAGTGAAAATATAATTTAGATGTGTCATCATTAGTAGACAGGGAGCTTTAAAAAGAATAACATAATGGTTGCTTTTCAAGAATATTTCTTGGGAGTCACATAAATGCCAGGAAGTAAGCTTTACCTGGAACAAACAGATAAGATGTCTGTCCTGAAGGAACTGAGGAAGTTATTACCTTTTATGCATCTCGTACATTACAGCTGCTTTTTGCTCTGGGTAACCAACCCTCCAGCTCTTCTTGTGTCTGAGACCTCCAATAGAAGAGGATTTTCCTGCAGGAGGCAGCATCCAAACCCTCCTATTGATTTGTCCCCGAAATTCAGTCTCCACAGGAAAGGCAATCTTACCTGCTGCCCATTATTCACAGCCTGCAACTCACTGCTATATATGAAAATGATTATATGCCATCAAATCATAGGAATTTCAGCACCTTGTTAATATTTTAGTGGAAGGAAATTTTAAGCTTTCCTTTGGGTAGATACTACATAGTTAATAACTATTTTAGAGTGTTATAACTATTAAACAATTTATTTTTATTTTTATTGAGTGAATATTTTATTTCTTTTTTACTGAAAATAGATCATTCTCTCATACAATAGTTCCCAACCATAGTTTCCCCTCCCTCCACTCCTCCCAGTGCCCACAAACCTCCCCTCTTCCTCAGATCTGCTCCCCCTTGGCTTCTTTTCAGAAAAGAACAGGCCTCCAAGAGATAACAGCCAAAGATGACAAAACAAGATAAGACAAAACAAAAATAAGACAAGACAAAAGCCATCATATAGACTGGACAAAGCAATCCAATAGGAGGAAAGATGTCAGAGAGGAGGCAAAAGAGTCAGAGACAAACCCACTCCTACTTTTAGGTGTCCCATCAAAACTCCAACATATACGCAGAGAAGCTGGTGCAGACACATGCACACTCCATGTTTGCTGCATCAGTCTGTGTGAGTTCATGTGAGCTCTGCTTAGATGATTCACTGGGCCATGTGACCTAATAGAGAGTTTCGAGTTAGATTCCCACTTCCACACAATGACTGGTTGTGGGTCTCTGCACCCATCTGCTGCTAGAAGAAACCTCTCCAGCAGATGACAACTGGCAAGACACCAATCTATGAGTATAGCAGAATATCATTAAGAATATTAGCAATCATTTTATTGATTTTTTTTAGTTACATTTGGTTCTACCCTAGGTCTGTGGGCTATTTGGTCTCCAATTCCTGACCTTGCTGGCAGTGTAGGGCTGGACTGCTTTTCCTTCCATGGGCCTCAAGTTAAACAGACATTGTATGGCCACTCTGTCAAGTTCTGTGCCAACATAGCCCCAGAACATCTTGCAGGGAGGACAGACTATATGTTGAGGTTTTTGTGGCTTGGTTGGTGTCCATGTTTCTCTTTCTGTAGCCTGCAGAGTACCTTTCCAGGCCAAACAGAATAGAAGATAGGGGTGAGAGCTCCATGAAGGCAACAGCTTGATCTCTCTATGTTCAATGAACTGTGTAGATGTTGCCCACAACAATGGTACCCCACTGTCAGTTTTCAGAGAGGAGCACTTTGTCCTAGCATCAATATGGGTTGTTTAGGGATCTCCACAGAATCCGCTTCCCAACAGTTCGACTGACTGCAATCCAGTCTCACCTGTAGCCTTGCCTGGCTACAGAAGATGGTCAGTTCAGACTCTGTGTGCTCCATTACTAGGAATACTCACTAGGATCACCCATGTAGGTTGCAGGAAGTTTTCTCTGCACTAGCTTTCCACAACACGCTCTAAAGGCCCCCAACTCCAGCTGTCTCTCCCCATACTCCCTCCCTCTATCCCTTCCCCCTAATACATGATCCCTTCTAATCCTGCCCCCACTAACTCCAAGTCCCCCTGAAAAATATGTTCTATTTTTCCTTCCCAGGGAGACCCATGTGTTTCCTCTAGAGACATCTCTTCATCTAACTACTTTGTATCTGTGGAATGTAGCTTGATTATCCTTTACCTAACAACTGATAATATACTTACAAGTGAATACAAATTATACTTGTCTTTCTGGGTCTAGGTTATCTCCCATAGGATGTTTATTTCTAGTTCCACCCATTTGCTTGCAATGCCAGTTGGATGTCATTTTTTAAACACCTGGGTAATACTCCCTTGTGTAAATGTACTACATGTTCTTTATTCATTCGTCCATTGAGGGACATCTAGGTTGTTTCCAGTTTGAAGTTATTATGAATAAAGCCACAATGAACATATTTGAGCAAGTGTCCTTGTGGTAGGATAGAGCATCCTTTGGTTACATGTCCAAGAATGGTATACCTGGGTCTTGAGGTAGATCAATTCCCAATTTTCTGAGGAGCCACCATATTGATTCCACCGAGGCTGTACAAGTTTGTAGTCCCACCAGAAATGGAGGAGTGTTCCCCACTGAGAAAGCTTTATTCTCAGTCTTATTGCCTGCTACCATTTTCTTTCCACCTTGGCCTCACCATTGCTGTGTTAACCTTGGCCTTGAAGCTTGGCCTGAATTTTATTCCCTGAGAGATTCTGAATTGCAGGGGTGCTTGTGGTTGCATCTCAGCAGAGCAGAAGTCCCATAGCCATGCTGAGGTTTGAAAATAGGGCAGTCTCAGTGCATCCCACTTAAGCTCATTATAGTCTAAAGCACTCACCCTCTGCTGTGTCTGCAGCATTCTATAACTGATTTTATTCCAAAGTTGTTAAGTCTGAGTTAAAATGGGCCTTATGGAGGGTTAGGAGAAATAAAGAGTCTCAGACATTGCTGGTGTTGTAAGATGGTGTAGCCCCATGAGAAGCTATGTACAATTTTTCAGAAAGTTGAACTGCAGTCCCCATGTAACCCAGTGATTCTGGAATGGGAAATAAGTTGTTCACAGAGAAACTAGCTGACACCAGGGTTGTAGCAGTCATCTTCAGAACAGCCCTGAAGTCAAAACTATTCAGATACCTATCATCTGTGAGTGTAACAGTACAATGTGGTCCGGGGCTTTCCATGGAATCTTGTTCAGTAAGAAATAATACATGCGATCATTTGTCTGTGACTTAGTCAGCCTTCTCTTATTCAAACAAAATCCCTGACACAATCACCTTACAGGGAGGAAAGGATTATATTGGCACCTGGTTGAGGATTTTCTAGTTTCCTGGGCTCATTGCTTTGTGTCTGAAGTGAGGCAGCCTGTGGTTTAGAGAGCTCCTTTTGGAGGAAGCTGTTTACCTTGGAGGACACTGGGAAGCACTGAGTGAAGCTATTGGCTGCTTCACCACCATCCTATTGTCCCATGCTGGGGATCCAAGCCCTTAGTGCACAGACTGGGGAACTTGATGAACAGGCATGGCTTATAGGCCAAGCACCCCCACGAGCCCATTTGTTCATGCACTGGGTTTACAAGGTTTGTGCACTTCATTGACTGATCTGTCTATCTGTCCTGCCCTCTGTGTTCTTCCATCTAAGGAATGTTCAGTTTCTTCTTAAATGTCCTGGGTGCTCTTTTCTTATATTAGCATTATTTGGGAAACTAAACATGTGAATGCAATGTAGTATGCTTGTATGCGTACACACTTGTATGTGTGTGTTCAAGAGTGTGTGTGTTCAGGAGAGTGTGTGTCTGTGTGCATATGAGTGTTCAACCGTGCACTAAGAACATAATCTTCTACTAAACAGAAACAGGAAAGATTGGAGGACAGACTGCAATACCTGCTGAAGCAGAGAGATCTGGTCTCCAAGCACAAGGTCTTGGCAGAAAAGCTGCAGCATTACTTCACTGTCTCCCAGATGAGGTAGGACCCCAGGCCAGGAGGGAGTGGCACTCAGTAGTTCCCCTGTACCTGAATCTCTCTCCTATTTGGATTTCTGCCCATGTACATGGCCTTCCAGTCACAGCCAGGGAAAGAACATCTGAGTGTATGAGCTCGTTCAGTCAACAGAAATGTCTGTCCAGGAAAAATACGTATTATCCCTTAATCGTTTTAGAGATTGTGTCCCCCTCTTCATTTCTGAGCTCTCATATGTCCTGAGTTCATTGATCTTTATGTCTCCCCACACATGTTCCCATGGCAGCCCCAAACCTAACAGGGAGAGTGTTAGATGGAAGACAGTGTGCCCTCCTGCCTCTTCATTTTCCTTCAGGATGGCACTTTTAGAGGTAAGGTCCTTGCCTTGTGCAGATTTGCATGGAGCCCCTTCATACTGATTACAGGTTTTCTGCAGTGAGCATCTGTTTGCTGTGAGAAAGTTTCTCTGGAAATAAGCAGGTTTAGAGTTTGACAGGTTGAAGCCAAGGAATTTTCTGTGCTGAAGGTGTAAACAGAGCCTGCACACTGCAGTGTTGTGTAGACACCACTAGAGGGCCTCATACAGTTCGGTTCCAAGGTTGCTGAGTTGCCTGGCATCTGTTCAAGGCCATGCATATCTCTCCTCAACTGTGACTCTGACATTGCTATGCTGCTATTTTTTTTTTTTTTCAAAAATAATGTATCTGAACTTTTGGAGAAATGTGCTGGGGTTTTTTTTTTGTTTGTTTTTTGTTTTTGTTTTTAGTTTAGGTGTATAATTTTCAGTTCAATCTCTAGCAATTTTTAAAGGCTGAGAAAAAATTCAGGGCCAGCTGCTCTCTGGCCCTTCTCTCTTTAGGAAGAAAGGAATAAGCTCATCTGAAAGGTAAAGTTGATTGTCAAATGCTGGCATGGCAAGTCCCACCAGGCCCTGTGTTTCAGCTGCCTTCCTCTCCTAGGTTTAAAAATCTCCAACGTGATCTAGAACAGGCCACAGCCCAGGGTCAGAGCCTGCTGAAGACAAACCTGCTTCAGCAGGGACACTAAGTGCACCAGGCAAAAGAGCCACCATGGACTCCTATCCCCTGCAACCATGGCATTCGTGGGGGTGGTCTTTCTTCCTTCACATTGGTGTCCTGTGAGTGAATAGGCCCTGGTTTTGTCTAGGCCATGGCAGAGATAGGATGCTTATAGGAATAATTTCTATTCTTTCTCTGACAGCACCACTTAAGAGAACTCCACTCTAGCATCAACACCTCCTCAACAAAAGACATCTTGTAGCTGTGAACTAACCAGTGAGGAAAATCCCAACCTACCAGCAACCTACCAAATAATGTTGGTGCATTATTCCAGGAGAAAATAAATCATCAGAAAGAAGCTTGAGCTACAGAGGACCTGCCAAGATTACTCAGAACCCAGACATCTATTAACAAGTGGCCCTCAAACGGGACACAGCAGCATGGGGAGGGTATGTTGGTGAACCAGAGTTACTCTGTCAGTTTACTCTCCATGTCTTTAGTAAACTGTCTGAGTCCTCCACATGTGGTGAGAAATCTGACAAGAAAGCCTGCATGGCTGTCATGCTGTTATCTATACATACCACATGGAGAAGAATAGGATTCCCTCCCCAGGGCAATGCTGAAGCCATCTCCATGTCACGTGAAAGTGTTGCTGAAGATGACGCACTGCAGATACTACAGCACTCCCTCACACCTATGTTAGTCAGTCATCAGATCTTCCATCAAGAAAATGACTAGGGATTCTCCAGTGTCACAGCCTGGACTGGCATGACTGGTCCTGAGAAAGAACTTATAGAGGAGGTCTGAGTCATCTTTGGTGCTTTGGAAAGCCAAATGTACTCCATTGATTCGTTGAGTCTAGAGTAGAAGAACATTTGTAGCTTAAGTTTTTGGAGGGGTCTTTTCTTTGCTGGGGTTTTGTTTGCTTGGTGTTTTTAGTTTAGTTTAGTTAGAAATTTTGTTATTTTTTTGTTAATTCTTTTATTCTTGTCAGTGTTTTAACAGTTGGTAAATATATACACTGCATTTACTGACTGCCTTTTAAAAAGTCCCCACTGAAGACTTTTATGAATAAAAAAGCAATTTCCAACTCTTTACTTTTACAACTCTTCTTTATTCAGGCATGGTGTTGCACTCCTGTAACTTCAGAACTCAGAGGCAGAGATGAATCTCTGCAAGTTCCAGGAGCCTTGGCTACAAAGTGAATTCCCATCTAACCAGGGCTACATAGGGGGTTGACACCTTGAATGTGGATGGCATGGTCTAACGCCAGTCTTCATGACCTAGCCTTTATGTTAACAGCCGGATTTAGAGAATGTAACAATGATGAGCTTCTGGAAAGAAAGGAATCTCCCTTCTGCACTACATTAGTCCTTTCCACATGCCCTTTTACAATTGCCCATTGTGGTTCTGGGATAGCAAAACAGTGAAAGTGGCCTTGAAATGCATGAACAAAGTTTACCACTACCCACAGCAGAGGGGAACTGCTGAGCTGCAAGTATGAATACTGGAGATGCCTTCTGACCTCTCACTCCTTTAGCATGACTGGTGCATTGGGGAGATGTAGAGTAATGACCTGCTCTGGCACTGTCATCTGCTTCCATTAGGAATATTGTGAACAAAGCCTGAAGGATTCATTCCAATCTCTGAAATGGTGTTTCCCGTTGGTTTATGACACAAAACATTTCATAAAATTCCATAAGGCTGTCTCAGATAGGTTACTCAGAATACCAATTCCATCTGCTAAATTTAAGAAGTATGAGTTTGGGGCTTGTGGAGATAGTTCAGTAGTTAAGAGCATTTGGGTTTGGTTCCCAGCACACATAAGGGGGCTCATATCCATCTGAATTTCTAATTCCAGAGGACCCAATGACTTCTTCTGACCTCCAAACCAAGCATGCCTCTGGTACTCAGATATACATGCAAGCAAAACATTCACACACAAGTATACATTAAAGTAAAATAGGTAAGTATTACCAACTAACTTAATGCTACTTGGCAGATGAAAAGCTTCAGCTATTTTTTTTTCAAGACAGGGTATCTCGGTGTAGCTTTGCGCCTTTCCTGGAACTCACTTGGTAGCCCTGGCTGGCCTTGAACTCACAGAGATCTGTCTGGCTCTGCCTCCCGAGTGCTGGGATTAAAGGCGTGCGCCACTACCCCCGCCTGGCTACTTCATCTACTTTTACTTTTAAATATTATCTCCAGATTTTTCTCAGGCTACATCAGAATTCAGTATCCTACTTTGGCTTCAAATATCAAGTTTGTTTATTTTATTTTTTCTAATAAAACTAAATTTATTCAATACCCTACAGTAATGGTTTTGATAATAACTATCCAAGTGTATAAAAAGTTTAAGACATATTTGTAGAGTTAGTATATTAATACAAAGTGCATGCCTAAATACAGTATGTTTACAGGCAGAGAGTTGAGTGGGAGAAGACTGCAGTTGAGGTCTAATAATAAATATATAAATGCAGAAATAGAGATGCTCAATCATTGGGCACTCTGTGCATACGGTGGCTTGTACTAGATAGATTTTTCACAAAAGGGAGAAGCACACAATGTAAAACTATAAAACTAAAGGTTGTCATAAAAACTGTGGCTCTCCTTGTTGTGAAACACTAACAGACTTTAACAATCCAGTTTTCAAAATAATCATGAGTGACAGAATACTAAGTCAGCATGTACCCTTCCCTCTAGATGTCTGACATGGCAGTATTGTTTTTTCCTGAATTTTGAGAAGAAGCCATTGGACAGCTTCAGGAGTGTTCTACGGAGAAACCCTCTCTGAGATCTTAATGTGAGGCATTCCATTCAGCTACCTGGATGTTCAGAAGCCCAACTCCAAGAAACCAACTCAACTAACCAATTCAATCTCAATATACAACTCTTCTCTTTAGCCTACTTTAAATAGTGGGAGAAAAGCAACAAAAGCCTAAATCCTAATAAGGTCAAGACAAGGCAAAGGGCTACTCTATAGATAAAACCTCCACAAAGGTCAACTGAGGAAATCCAGAGATAGAACTGAATCATACAGATTTCAGTGAGTCGCAGACAGTCATGTAGCAGCAATGTCAATTATTTATACACTGCAAGTTCTCTAAGAAATGTCCCTCAAGCAGCATCAGCTATGCTCCGTGCATCCCCAGGACTTACACATTCTAATAAGTGGTTTCTAACCACGTGTTCTCTACTGTATGGTGATGTTTTGATACTATCTGTATAGGACCTTGCCCATCCTACAGACTTGCCTTCCCCCAAAGGAGCTCTGGTTCTGTTTTAGAAGATTCACATAAAGTCTTCTTATCAAATATTAAGATGAAGGGAGGTGACACGATGCTACCTGTGTGTTCAGAAATTGCTTCCTCCTCCAAGCTATTTGGAGAAATCTCAGTCTCCCCTGCTTAATAGTCAGTAGTACAGGTCTGAATCATCAGAAGTTTGGTAATGCTGAAGCATTCCAAAATTTTTAGCTGTCTCTAGAGGCAGGCCATGCTACTGAATTATGACAAATTATCATGAGGAAAAATAAGTGTAGCCAGACATTTTTAAATGCCTCAACCACAACCTTTCCACAGAAAGACTAAACTACATATGGTTTATCATAGAATAATGGCACCCTCTGGCCCCTGAAATCCCCTAATTTCATTCATTTGGAGGTATTAAACAAGCAAAAACACTTAAATAGTACTTTACAACACCATTCAGCTTTCCAATGAAATACTCAGCATCTTAAATATTATGTATACTTTTTTTTCTTGCAGTAAGCTAGACACTGGCTTCTGAGTTTGTTGTATGGGGAATGGGTAACACATTAAAACTGTTATATAAAATGTCTTTTGGCAGAATAATAGGTATCCAAGTTAAAAATAGGAGGGTCAGTTTGTTACTTTGTGGTCTTTTCAAAGTTGAAATCAATCTTTGTTCCCTTCTACTTACCTCAGTCACTACTCCTGAGTGGAGATGGGCAGAGGTGCCAGCCCCTCCTCCTCAGACTTCACAGCAGCTGCTTTCTTTCTGCTGCAGCAAGGCTTGAAGAGATGGGTGTCAATGAGAACTCTGCCAAAACTGCCCTTAGAGGTGATCCCACAATGTATTTCTGTCTTTTCCAGTAGGTAATATCTAAAAAGGAAAAACTGGAGTCCTCTTAGAGCTGGAAGCCATCTCTGTATCTGAGCCTTGATCTGACTGGTTACTGAAGCAGAGACTGGGCTGGAGAGGCACTGGAGGTGCTATGAGCATCAGGATTGTGGTGTTTAAATTCCTTCCACAGTTTACTCATGTGATTGCTTTTCATCCTGTTTCCAGATAGAGTTCTCACTTTTTTTTTTGTTTTAAATGTTGCCTTTAGACTGGGTCCTGCCCTTGCATCTACCACATGATTCCAGTTTTGTTGGTTTTTTTGTTGTTATTTTGTTTTTGTTTTTTGTTTTGCTTTGTTTTTCTGGATCAGCTGGCAACTTCTTCCATCTTTCCACAAGCAACACACAGACACTGCAGATGTCATGTGCAACCCAAAAGAGCTCTGAAAATCCTTTTTGTAATGTTTACTGTCCATGAACCAAGAGCTGGAAGACTTGGCTCTGCAGATACAGCAGTCCTCTGTTCTTCAGTGCACCTTTGGCTTGTGAAAACCAAACACATTTCCTTCTGGGCAATAGCTTCCACGTGCAGCAGCATCCACACAGGGCAGGCTGCACCGAGAAAACCCCTGCAAGCACTCACTGTGCCCACAGTGAATCCAGCAAGTTTGCTGATTTATATGCTGCCTACGTTAAAAAAATTCTAAAACCTACCCAAATGGTATATCCTAGAGCAGTAATGAAACAAAAATGCTAAGGCAGATTAACGATAAAAAAATGTGAACGTGTATATACTTGTCAAAATTCTTAAAGTGGTAGTGTGGAGCTATTTTAATGGTTGTAGCAAAAGAGATAGAGTCGAACCACAGGGGGAAAAAATGAGTTTGATGGGATATACTTCATAGTTCTCATTCATTGTTTGCTCCTCATTATGCAATTTATTTTAATAGAACAAAAACAACTCCCCATATTTATAACACTTTTATTATCTCCCTCTATTTTGTAGTCAGAAGGTCC